ATTTAATATACAGATAAGTTATAATATCTCAGCGAAGATGCCTTGGGAAAGTTTGTAGCTTTCAGTGCTTTACTGCTAGCACAGAAACCAAAACAAGCCAACGAATCAACGGCGGAAAAAACAAGTTTTGCAAATTCACTTCCTGTACGAACAAACTTATATACCATATTCATACAATATGAATGCATAGTATATAGAACTGCAAGCCCGATGCATGCCCGTTTAGAGTTATGTGCAAGGAACAATGAATGTACTTTGAATCAAAATTCGTTTTGTCACCGCAATAATTGTATTCACTTTCCGTACACACAGGCGATGAATACTTTTGATGATTGCCTCAAAATATCCATTAGGATTCTGAAAATGTCAGCACACCAAATGAATGAAGCGGACGGGCAATTAAACAGTACACAGAATAAAAAGTGAATTACAGAATGAAATAAAAATACGAAAAAAATGGGAAAACTGTTTACTTTAATACGCCGAAGATTGAACACCCTTGTGGACAATATGACTTACAGCTTGGCAGATGTATCAGGAGAAATGCGGAGCTCAAATCTTGTAAAAGGCAGAAAAGTTTTTCATACAAAAGCTCATTTCATCGATTCTTCCAGTAGATATATGTGTCAATTATATATGAAGTCCGATATTGATATTGTTTTATCAAGATAATGTTTGATGAAATACAAACAAAAAGTTATACTTAGAGGAACCTAATTTTCAAACGATCGAATAATCGAAACTGACGGACGTGTGCAAACTTTTATGACCAACATGTCTATTTCGAATCAAGAATATGAGATCGGATAAGACTCCTTAAATACGTTACATATTTCATCAAAATATTTCACTACCCTTTGTAAGGGTATACGAAAGTCACTTCAAAGCATGACACATGCCCCATTGAAAGCGCCAACCTGCTGGACAATTTACGAGTCTGTTGCTCAAACAAGTTTCTTTATTTGGCGCTCTGAGAAGTGGCTTTGAAAACTTTTTGCGCATTAATGACCTTTACCATTTTAGCCAAAAGTCAGCACACACACACACACACTAACAAGCACACACACAACAATCTCAGAGTCAATGTTGACAGAAAAAAAGAAGTAGAAAAAACATACGGAACTAACTGTGTGCACTTACTTGCTTGCAAGCTTAGAAATTCTTATATTTGTACAGTCTCCGATTATCACATTTTGTGTTTAATTACATCAGTTCAGTTGGGGTTCAGGTTCAATGTACGCGCGCAGAGACAAAGACCGAAGAGCCAGACAGAAAACTGGGATCTGAGTGCGTGATCCGCATCAGCAGAGCGCTGATAGTCAGATAGTCGGACTGTGGAATAACCCACGAAGGACGTGACATATGAACAGATATATATGTAAGCGATCTTTCTGATAGATATATAAATGGATGTACATAGCATGAATTTTAAAACTAAAAATTTGCGGCACATTTTGCATGGCAAATAGTTGTACTCTTGCTTTGGGTCTTGTTTCTACGGGTCCATCACAAGACAAAGAATTTCTGTTTATTTCGATTCATTTCAATTCACAAAGAACATGAAGTTTTATTCATGTTAGCTTGTTAACTTTGTTATTTTAGTCAATTTTAAACAACATTTTTTAATCTCATTTCTAGAACAGGATTAAGATCTAACAAATTGAAAAGTTTACAAGAAAAGACTTGTAAATTGTCGACCAGCCACAATAAGCGAATTAAGTAAATGTTATAAAATATATAAAGTCCAGCAGTCAGCATTTTCGCTCATTATCTCACTTCAAGGTTAAAAAACAACAACAACAGCGAGTGGCGTGCATTTACTAACATTATGTTATGTGCGCTGTGAGCTGAAAGTACGCTATTATTCATGGCATCATTTGCAAAAGGCAAACGAACGCATTTTATTAGATTTCTTGTTTGCTTTATTTTTAATTTTACTGTTATTATGGAAACAACTTTAATTAAACTTATATGAATATTTACAATACTACATATTCTACTGTTAAGTCTAATATAAAAAATTTACAAAGATAGGGTTTTTTTTATAAACCTGCGCAATCTCCTCCGCATTCGGACTGCTCCAATTCTACGTCTCTTTAGAAGGCGCCTAGCCAGACGATTTGGATGATTTCCAAGCCGCGTAATATAGTTCCCAGTCTGTTTTCATTTTATTAGAAGATGCAAATGCATTATCAGCAGCATTTAATAACATGTTTGCTATTGCATACTTTCGGGATAACATAAGCAGCACCTACGCAAATAACTCGACTGAATTATGTGATTGATTCGCAGACAGTTAAACAACGCTCATAAATTGTGACGTCAAACTGCAAATCATGGCGAGCATTTCTTTATAAGAAGGCGAAGTCATAACCCGATTGCGCACATTCGCCTCCCCCAACCCCAACACAAACAGACATAATCGTAACATGTCTATTGATATCAAGGTCCAAGGGAAAAAACAAAAACCCCAACAAGTTGTGAATTCTATGCATTGTTTGCAGCACTTTAATTTTGTTTTAATCTAAAGCTTGGCACATTAAGTTTTACAATCGGCAGCTGGGCAAACATCAGCCAAAATGTGCGTCAATTATTTTGATATGTAAACGAACGTGATTATTTTCCCATTGTCTTCATTGTTTATAAAATATGCAATATAATTAGATTAGCATAAAATATTAAAAGAGTAGAAAGAGCAGCAGAAACAACGACAACGCGTTGACACAAATGTGTGTGTGTGCGTGCGTGTGTGTGTGTTTGAAGGCACGTGTTGTGTGTGTGTGTGTGCTCGTAGCCAGCGGGACATCAATACAGAAATAACTTTTAGCTTAAACACATACGCACACACACACATTAGCTGGCGAATAGCTGTAGAGAGAGAACGTGGCACAGCAACAGAGACGAAAAATCTCGTAGGAGGCTAACAACGCGACGACACGGACCGCATTGAGATTATAAATAAATATACCATTAAGCCGCAAGAAGAAGAGAAGCAGCAACAACAAAAACAACCGAACCTGCTGCAAACTAGAGAATGGGAGACTGTGAATGGCCTGCACTGTTTTATTAATTATTAATTCGAAGCATTAGACCATTTGGAAGCTCTTGTTAAAGTTGACATTAATTTAAACATGTGGTTAAATCATCTTAAGAACTTCAACAAATACGTAAGTGTTTTCATGTTTTGTTTTAATGCGCTTGTCAAAGTTAACAAAAGCTACAGTCAAATGAATTTGACTTGAAGAAGGAATGGTTTTATTAATTAGGCAAACTTTTTAAAAAAGGCTTGTCTTTTAGTTAATTTAACTTTGCCCAAACTACATAAAAGTTAAATATTTCTTTGACTAATTTTGTCAGCTAACATTAGGTCTTAAAGAAAAGGAAAAATAATTAAAAGAAGAATAATCTTAGATTCAAATGCTTTAAGTACGCAACAATTTCAGCAATAAAGTTTGATCATAAAAGTCTGCTAGTTTTGCATGCTGCTTTTACTTCCTATTTACAGGGTATTCGAGAGGCAGCTGCTGTGCGCTACTGCCGTTGATCTTATTGCCTTGCGAGTGCTCATCGTTATGTGAATTGTATTTACTAAAGAAAACAAACAGATTGCGAGCTGATTATAAAGATAGACCCACAAAGTGGTGCCCGCAACATCAACTCGGCATTATCTAGGCATCAGGCGCATCCACAAAAAGCTCTTTGTGGCAAGTGCTTGTTTGTTCAACTCGGGCTATTTACGTGCTGTTTGTGTTTGGACTGAAATACTCGCGCTTCATTGGATTAGCTAGAACAACATCTAAGAAGATACAAATGCATCCGCACAGACTGCAGTCAATGATCCGAAAAGAACAACAAAGCACAAAAATATCTTGAAAGCGTTCACGCCTCGGAGAATTTACATAAGTAATTTTTGTAAAGAAAGGAATACGCAAATGCTCTATATTACTTATTTAAATAAATGCTAAATGTATTTATACCAATTTGAGATTTTCTGAATGATAAGCTAATAAGTTTTGTAGACCCCTTTTAAGCTATTTACTGCACTTTAGGCTCAGGGGTGGTGAAATTTTCACTGTAGTTACCTTACGTAATGAAGGTGCACGCTAAGACGGGGTTTCGGGTAATTCCACCTGCATGGGTGGAAAAATGGCGAAAAACGTTTGTATGAAACTTTTTTGTTTACCATCCGATCCGCCTCAAACTCTGTTTCAAAGATCTTTTGTTTAAATTCATTTGAGGGGTGTTTCACACTTCTCGAAAAATGCATTCCTCCTTGGTGGAAATGGGGGTCAAGAATTTGGTAGGTGACGTTTCGCACTCAAATTCATTTACAAGGATCTAAGTAAAAAATCAATTGAGACGTGTTTCACACTTTTCGCAGAATCCTCGGTGGAAAATGCGATTCAAATATTTTTGGATAAGTTTTAGGTTTGCATGTATATGTATGCTTGTTTGTATGCATGCTTGTTTTGTATATATGCAAAACTGCATACATGCATACAAATGTGCATAAATACATACATACATACATCTACCTACCCGCTCTTCCTCCTCCTGCGTCACCGCCTCCTGCTCCACCGCCACAAGTTGCTCCTCCACAGCCAACGTTTCCTGCCTTGTGGAATTTCAGCAGGCCTACTTGAATTCTTGAGAATCGAGGAGAAGAGCACTTGGCAAAAATTCGTTTTATTTTAATTTGCAGCACAGCGACAAATAAGCTGGGTCTGCGTTTATTATTAGAAAACAAACATGCATGCATACACTAACACACACGCCCACCCACACACACACATACATACACACACAAACAAACACACACACACATATATTTAATACTTATATACCTTCGTACAAAAAACTTGTAGTTTATTAAGTTCTTTTATCACCATAAAAAGAAATACGATTTACAAATATCAAACTTTTTGAACCAATGTTGGCTCAGCTGTTCATGTCAACAAAATTTCTACTCGTTGAGACCAATATATTCCAAATATTCAGTCTTTACTAAAGCCTCGATCTGAACACAATCAAATTAAACTTTCAGCACAAAATAAAATATAAATTTCATTTAATAGACTGAATACGTTTATATTGACGAACTATATCAAATTCGATTGTCGATTATAATTATACCCGTAATCATAATTGTCAATCCACATTAGCCATGACAGTGCCATGTCAAAAGCTAACGTTGTAAGTATGTGACTTAATGAATGATGAATGAAAATGTCCATTAAAAACAATTCCTAGTTCAAGAGTAATTGCAATGTGTAATAAGCCAAGCACAATTTATAAGTTGCGTTCTATCCTCTATGTATAACTGCCGAACTAAAAGTATTAATTTATCTTCTTTGTAGCTTTAAGTCTGTTCAATAAATTGTCTTTTTAACAATCGCACCTCTAAATATTACACAATTGAAAATACAAGAATTGAATCAGTAATAAAAATTGAAATTGCTACTGGATTTGAACTAGCGACTTCTCGCACTATTTCTGAATAACTGAAACACCTATTTTAGGTGCTCACTTTCGTAGTTGAACGTTGATCAACGATAAATGTTGTATGTGAGTATAGAAATGAAGTCGCTGGTTCAAACGCTTCTGTTTGTGCATAAGTGAAAACGCTGGTTCAAACCCAATACAAGTTTAATTTTAGAAAAGAAATACATTTGCTTTTAGGAATATCTGTTTACAACGAAGTAAGCCATTTGAATAAATTTGTTTTTCTAAATTAAGAGCTATTTGGCAGTTATCTGTCCGCTTCCGGCTTACGGAAAGTGGGAAAAATATATAAAAACACAGAGCTAAGGTAAAAAATGCATTTTAATTGCGCGACCCATGCAAAAATCGTGTGTATTTTTTCCCAAATCATTTTTAGATGAACACAACACGAATTGCATTTGTAACAATGACAGAAAAAAAAACACACATAAAAATGACCTAAAAACAAATTTGTTAAATTCAAACATGCGACAAAGTAAAAGCAAGCACACACACTCGCTACACACATGAGTTACCCATGTGTATGCGCCGTGTTGTGCCATAACAAAAAATTAAATAAATAGGTGAATAGGTGCGCCCTAAATCTGTTTCAATCTGTCAGTTGACACACAGTCACAGATATACAGATACAGATACACATACAGATACAGATACAGATAAAGAGATACACAAAAAGAGATACGCACAGAAGTTAAATTGTTGTTGTAGTTTCCGTGAACTTAGACAAACATTACTATTATTATTTTTGTTGTGTCGAATGAGGTGTATAATTATACCCTGCATATAACAATTTAATAGGGCGTATACGTTCAGCAGGGCTTTCATTTGCATACGACTCATAGAGAACACGTTGCCTGTGAGATGAACGTATTTAATATTTTCCAAAAAATATATTCAAATTCTCGCACTTTTAAAGTAAGTTGAATATTTAAGTTTTAAAAAGATTTGCGAGCAATTTTAAGCTTAATTGAAAAATTCTCTATATAAAAAAAATAAATATAAATAAATACATATATAAATATACATATATAAATTCTATTTGATTATTTCGTAGCTGAGTGGGAAAAATAAACATTTGGTGTCAAATTTTACGTAAATATGCATATACAATGATTATATGAGCCTAAAGCAAACAGCTTTAGTTCTCTATATGTTTTGTGATTAATTAGCATGAGTCAAGAAATAAATTGTTAAGATTTACAGACTAAGAAACCCTAACAAATTGCATGTAGGCGACTGTAAGTCGCAGCTTTAAAAAATCCAGACTTATGAAGACTTCGGAGCCAAAATAAATGGGTAATATAAAATATATTTTTTTTTTTTGCTGCGTAATCAATGTCCAAATTAAACTGATATCAAATACATTTTTAAAAATTTTCCATTTAAATATAAATATATATTAAGTTAATTCCCTTTATTCTATTATCATATTATTCCATATTCAATATTTGATATATTCTATATCAAAGTCAGTATCTATGTAATTCCCTATATCATATGACCGCATGCAGGGTATTTGACAGTCGAGTAGTAGGGTCTAGCAATTTCATTAAGTGTTGTTTGTTGCAATAAAATCACGCATTGTTTTTTGTTACTTAGTCAACGTCACCTGCTTTCTCCCAGCGCTGAGAATGAAAAGCGAAAACAAGACCTGCATTTGAAAATGAACATTTTTTATTTCCATGTCATTTTTTGTTTTTTTTTTTTCCATAGCCCAACCACCAATTAAAATTGTATTCAATTTGTGTACTTCAGGTATTTTGATTATACGTTTTAGATATTTTAAGTGCTGGCCATTTATTTAGTCTGTTGTTTTTTCCACATTAACGCTGCCCGACAGAACCCCATATAAAGTTTAAGCAGTTTGTAAACTGAAAATTTAAGTGCGCGCCTAGTTATTTTTATGCGCTTTTAATGGCAACTGAAACGGAAAATTTAGACAGAAGGCCCAGATCCAGAACACATCAAATGGCCAACTTTAAGTGCTTGTTTTTAGAAACAAAAAAGTTTGTTGTTGTTTTTTTTTGTTTTTAATTCTTTGCGCCTACTTCCTATGAAGTTCCACACTTTTGTTTATGCTCGAGGCGTCAATATTGTTTTAGCTTTTTCTGCTTAAGCAGAGCGTTAAATTAAATAATGCCATGAAAAAAGTTTGGCTTTACCGAGTTTTTTATTATGCTAGATGTCTTGGAGAGCATTTGCTGCGATAATTGGTAATTGCGCGGCTTTGTTCGGTTTTTGATTACAGTTGAGCTATATTTCTTAAATGCCCTGCTTTTCACCCATATTCAGGTTATATAGGCGGATAATTCGGGGAAATGTTTGTTTTCTTACAATTACTTTCACACTTTTTCCACCCTCGATAGCAATGAAATATAACGATATATAACGTGTATATATATTTTGTTATATTTATAATTTATACAGAAATAAATATATATAATATTATCAAAATGCTGCGATAATTGGTAATATACTTTTTAATGATTTTTGAGATATTTCATTGTCATTGCTCAGCTTTTCACCCATATTCAGCTAATTTAGGTGGATTTTGTGGTAAATAAGGTTCTTGTTTGTTTTCTTACAATAATTTTCACCCTTTTTCCACCCTTTCTTGTGGAAATATATCAATTACGTTAATAAAGTAGTCTAATATACAAAATATTGCTTCTTAGCTTATGCCTCCTAGCCAAAAGTACGTTAAATTTACGTAATTATAGATTAGATTAGGCAATTTTTTAAATAATATGTATGTTTTGTGTTGTGTGTTAATAAATTTGTGTATGAAATTTTCATAATTATTCAACCGAAATCAGAGCTTTTACCTTATACATGCATTGTGTTACATAAACTGAAACTGTTTTTATAATTGAGAGTTAAAAAACCGTTTTCTATCAGATTATAAATACATTTCCTACTGGGCCAATGCGCATGTTTCACAATTTACAAAAATTTATTGTGCGCTTTTACTGGTAATTAGACAATAGCAAAAACTCATTCGATGATTACAACAATATTTTACACACATTTTATGTAACTTAATTGTAACGGAGGGCTGAGGCTGAGGCTGAGGTAATAGGCCTTAATGAAAGACAAAGGTGTGTCTGGGCTCGAATCGGGCTGAAAGCAAAGCACACAAAGCCCAACGATAACTGGGCATAATGTTGAGAATTGCTCTATATAGATGATAGGTGTACGAACGAGTTGGCGAAAACAATTGGTGAAACGTGTAAACAGAAAACATAAAGAAGGTTCGAGTGGCATTTTGATTGAAGGTTCTGATGGCGGAAATTCTGTGGACTGACAAACAATTTTTTGTTGTCGCTAGCTTCCAAGTTTTTCCATTACGTTGTTTTAATCGATTTTCCACACATTTTCCATGCCTTGATTGTTGGCAGCAGCAGAAACAGCAGCAACAAAATTCAGTCAAACATTTTGCTAGTTTGTAAAGTTATTCGTGAGTGTGTGAATGTTTTGTGAGTGTGTGAATGTTTCGTGTTCGCTCGAATCATTTGCTGTGTGCTGTGCCTACATTTTGGCTTTCAACAATAGTTGCCTTTGTGACTTTGAATTTGATTGATATTCGGTGTCACACTTTTTTCAACTCAATTTTTCTTCTCATTTCGATTGTGAGCCGTTTTTCAAAACCACAACAAATCACGTAATATCCAAAATGTAATCAAACTATTCAAATGCTAATGACACAATTTCCCAAATGTCTCGTCTTGAAAGTTTACGCAGCTTGCGAAATATGTTGTTCGACATCAAAGTAAAAAGCTATTCAAAACTTTGACAGAAATGACATAAAAAAAAAGTAGCTCAAGTACTTATTTTTTGTAAATAAATAGACTTTAAACAAGAACTGTTGCTATAAATGTCACATGAATGAAGTTCTATGTCTGCTGCTTGAACTAACCAGCTTAGACAAGTTCAATAAATTGACGATTATTTGAAAAGCAGTTCAAAGTCCACAAATATTTTATATTCATATTTAATAATCATGCATATTTATAAATAAAGTGGCACACTTTTACCAACACCTGCATCATCTAAAACAGATGTTAAACAAAATCGTCTAGTTAAATAGAATGATATACATTCATATGTATGAACAATTTAAGACCTCTGCATATTCGACTTCCGAGACTGTAGACTTGACAGTTCTTGTATATGACGTAAATATACACAAATTAAATTTGTTCAAATTTATCGATAAATAAATGCTCAGAAATCGATAAGAACAGATGTTCAGCAAAGGTTTATATACGAATATATCTTAGCTTAAAAGATCTATAGACCATTTGAGGTAGGTTCTGGTTAGTATATATGTACATATGTATATGGAACATGTGGATACTTGCTTTAGTTCTATGTATGTTCACACGCTAGCGAAGAGGGTATACAATAATCGGACACTATTAAATAGAGCACTGAATACTTGCTTTAGTATATTTGATCACTAACCATACAATATATAGATGGGACAGCTGATAGTCTTTAGTTCTGGTGCCCCGTCAACTTCGTTTTTGTTCGGGTCCGAGACTCGCTCCCTTGCTCAGAGAACAAGAGAGTAAGAAAGCCAAATGCTTTGAATGATATGTTGTACAGTTTGTGGTTTAGTAAATGTCTTAGCACTTAAAAGGCTTATCGAAAACCCAATTGCATATTTACATTTTTCATTTGACAAATTATCAACGAAAAACGTCTGCCATATTTGCAAATTATAACAATTTATTTTCAAAATTAGATGTGTACTTCGATTTATTATCACTTCGTTAATATTAAAGGCCAACATAATCAGCAAAATCTGTCTGCCACGCCAAATATATCCCACTTGAAATATTCCACAAATATCCCACCAATGTCCCACTTAAGTAAACCTAACTACTCTTGATTAGTTTGCATATACATTTGCAAAACGAGGAAGCTTAATTGTGTTTATTTTGTCACTCACCGTTTATGCCATATTATTTAATGTGTGTATTTATGCTATAAATAGTCGAATATCCTTGGACGTTCGTTGACAGCTGCACAAGAATTCACTTAATTTTTCAGATGCTTTGTGGTTTATTTTTTCTTTTGTTGCAATTTTCAGCGCATTTTTATGTTTATAAACAAAATTTTTGTTGTATCTAACGTAAATATTTTGCTATTTGGCAATCGTAAAAATAAAACTTTGTTTTTTATTTATTTTTGCTGAAAAGATGTGTGGATTTTAATTTATTGCATTTCTTTAAAATATATTAAGGCGCAGATATATCAAAGAATTGTTTAGATCATGCCAATGTGAACCGCATACTAAACGGCAAGCACACACACATAGAAACACGCACACGCTTAGAGTGAGAGAGACTCGCTTCAGCGAGCAACTCGAGCGAACGAAGGAGCGAGTGAGCAAATGAGCAAACGAACCGACCAACGAAACGGAACCGGTTTTGAGTTTTCTGAATGGTACCAATGAGATACACAAACACCGTTAGATCTGCCACTTGTGTTGATTATGTTGATTTTTGCATTTCGGTTACGTGCAAAGTTTTTTCTTTCTTTATTTTTTGTATTTTTTTTTTTTTGCCAAGCGAGCCCAACAGGTCCGCTGCCGCGACGGCTAATTGCGAGCTGAGCCAAACACGTGGAGAACTGGAACACCAAGAGGTAAGCAGCAAGAGAGCGAGCCATGTGTTGGGGAGGAAGAGAGCGCCATCTTGAGGCAGCCAACCGCAAGAAATGGGAACAGCTGCACGAATATTGGGCCACAATCCAATATAAACACGCATACATACACACTTACATACACACGTATAGCTATGCAAGAGTTAACACATGAAATCAAAGCTAATGTTTATTGGAATTATGTACCTACATATATACGTAGGCATATAAATCTGAAGGTATTTCGCAAACAAACTATAAAAATCCATACATACTGTAAATGATTTAATTTTTCTTGAAATCATTATATAGCATATCATAAAAGAATTGATCATAATATGCGTATATATCTAAAGATCTGTAGCGTTAGGTGAGCATTTAAAAAGATTTTTTGCTGCAATTATAAACAACTATGGAATTCAGGTGGAAAATATATATATATCCAATTAATTAGGGTACATTTTTCATACTCTCTCAGGCGAGTATTATATTTAAGTCATGAAATGTGACAGGACGATGAACTGATGCGATTTATATATCTATCCATCCCGCTATAAATCAGCTGAACATTGCGCTTTTATATGAAATATAGAATAAATAAATATAGAAATATATATCTATCCAAAATATTCTTTATGAAAGCTGCAAAGGCATTTAATTTTGGCCGTCCAAATAAATATTTTCTAAATTTTTTCAAATTTTAGTTTTCAAAATAATCCGTGCAAAATTAAAGCAATTCGTCGTTTAAAATTAGTAAATATGTTCATATATAGAAAATATATTTATTAACGCACAATTTTCAAAAACAAATTTTGGCACAAGCTATAAACATCTTAATTAATTAAAGCAAATATTGCTAAAAAAAAACTTGCACACATATATTCTATAAATATTGAACACTTTACTCACGCTTTCGTGTGCCGATAATTTCATTAATTTATCTAATACTCGAGCATGGATAAATCTACCCCAACTGATGACTCAGCAACTGCTTAAAGAACAAGTATCTGTATCTGTATCTGGTTGTCGGTGTATCTCTGAGTGTCAAAACCAGTTTTCTTCTTGTCGCCCGATCTGATTGCAGTTTGTCAACAGCTTAGCTCAGCAAAAAAAAAAACAGCAAAAAACCAACCGATAACTTTTGCCATGACCAAACTCAAGAACTCGTTACGAAACGAAAGTGGGATAAAGGTGGATTCATGATACCTCGCAAAAGACAATCGATTGTGGTCGAGATGAAAAAAGTAAAATAGTTAAAGAGCTATAAAACTACTTAAAAGTTGCCTAAAACAAAAACTTCTTTGAATGTGTTATTTAAGTTGCTTTTAAGAAAAATAAAAATATATACTTAATATACTTAAAATGCCTACACAAAAATAACTATTTAAATCATATTTAACTTACTAAACTCTTTAATATTTTTATTTATAAATATTTAGTTTGATATATATATTTTTGAGTTTTTGCTGATAAAAAGTGAAAACATTTTGGGAATATTAAAATCCACTTGAAATCAGCTGAATTCCTTATAAGAATTACAATTATCCTAAAATGGAATAGGTGACAAAAATAAAATGAAAAACGTTTTTGGACTTATTTTTGTTGTTTTTGTGCCAAGAGTGAAAGTGGAAGCCATGTTCAACAAAATGGAAATTATTGTTGGATAAAAGCGGCTTTCAAAATTTTACATAAATACCTTTATCTGTTCTCAAAATGGAAAAATGTGTAAAAAACAATGTTTTGTCTCCACTTAAACACATTTAATTGTGTTCATTTATAAATGAATTTCCAATTATTATTATAAATAAAAATTGATTATTACTATCCCTTGAAAATCTAAAAAGTTCACTTATAGATTAGGCGCTGTATTTTCTAAACATAATACTTTTAGAGTCGGCCATAAAAATGGTTAATTTGATGCGGCTCAAAATAAATGCGTACATAAATGAATTAGCACAATTTAATGTATTTAAAAGTAAATTGCACAATTAACGTCAAACAAATGTGTAATAATTTTCATGCTTTTTAAGAAACATTAATAAAAAACAACGCACAATTATTCCACACTTGCCCATTAGAGTTGAATTTCAGATATGAGAATTTTTGCTATTATGAGGCATTTTTAGCACATGCTTGAAAATATGCATGTGTGTGTGTAAACAAACACATATACATATAAACAACACATGTATATATACAATTGATTCGGCCATGGCCAAAAGTACTTAACGTGTACTAACTTATAAATTTGGTCTAGCGAGGAACGTTTATGCAAAAACAAATCAATTCCCAACTAGAAAATGAAATCCAACAAGAATGCGCGATTTAAAGATACCCTGCACATTTGTTACAATACATTCACAGGGGATTATTTATGGGACGAATATATTACTTGACACAAGCGGAAATATTATTAAATAAGTATTATTTACTTTTCAACATCTGTTTGCGGTAATTCTTCAAAAAAGATTTTCCTAAGGACTATCGTAACAGAATATCTTTATACCGAGATTTCTTCAGAATGTTTACCTTAGCATATTTAGGTTTTCGATCTGAAATCAGTCTTAAATTAATTATTTGGCGAAGGCTCGAAATAAATAGTTTATTGTAAATCCATTAATGAATTTACGATTCATTTTCGTTTATTTATAAATAGAATATTTTATATTCCTCAACTCGTTATTGAACATTCAACAAATTTGATTAACCGAGTATATGTAATTAAAAGCCTCTAAAATCGAAGGACAGATGAACGACCAGCTCTAATACTCCATCTTATACAAGTTATACAGGGTGTTGCAGGAAAAACAACAAGAAAAGGCAAGCGACAGCGAAAACAAAGAAAAACCTTTTGCGTTGTGGGGGAGCTGTCGGAGGAAACCGAAATTGAACTATATGTAAATACACACACATACACACATACCTATAATTATATATGTATGTACCTATCAGCATGTATGTATGTAATGTACAGCTGTAGGGCAAAAACAAGTCTTGCAAAAGGGGGCTGCTGCGCAGGTGAGGGCTGCAAAGGGAGCAACATATGACTGGGACGCCTTGCTGGCCAGACAAGGCAGAAGCCAAAAAGAAGACGAGCCACGTCTATAGGTGTTTGCGCACATGTGTGTGTGTGTGTGTCTTTATGGAGGCGCAGGCACACATTGACGCTTTGGTTGTAAGCAGTGGCATTGATATATTTATCATATAATTTTTTTGTGCTGATGTTGCTGCATTTATTGTACAATATGCAAAGTACTTTGTTTTTGTTATTGTTTGGCAGGTTTACGGTTGCCCACACACACACACACTAACACGCACACACAAGTATTTTGTTTGCCTGCAGTTGCATCACTTTGTCTGTGTGTGTGTGTGCGTGTAGGGGGGGACTTTTAAACCAAATTGGATTTCGTTAGCCGTGCAATTTACCTCTTTTTCTCGTGGCTGTGAATTTATATTAATTATAATTGTTGCAGCTTTGATTATTATTGTTATTAATTATTGTTATTGTTTTGTTGTTCGGTGATTGACCCTTTAATTGCACATGATTTTTGTTTGATTTTATCACACCGTCATATACACTCTGGCACACAAATGCACACGCACCCACACACACACACACAGCCAAACACGCAACGCACGGACCGCACGCAGTGCATAAAATCAATTCAATTTCATTTACTTTTCATTAGTTTTATAAATTACACTTTGTACAATGTCTAAACAGCTGAGTTGCTGCGACTTTTGTTTATTTCTTGGCATTGTATGTTCGCGTATGTTTTGTTTTTAAACAGAATAAATGCGACAAGTTGGCATATTTATCAGCAGTTAAAACAGCGCGAAGCACAACCGTACCGTATGAAATCCAACAACAAATTAAAAAACAATGAGCGCAGTGCTGCCAGCCAAATCGCTTATCAAAACATGACCAGGTGGCAGCCCTCAGACGACGCAGGCCACCATATGCAGCCAACTTCACGTAACGCAAATTTGCGCTCGCTGCTTACATTAGCAGCACACGGTTAACATAATGCTGTTAATGGACATTGGGCGGCAAATGTTAGGGAATTTGAAATCTTACAGCTGACTTAAATATGTTACGAAAATTTATTTTATAATAATTTATATTGCTAAAAGATGCGTGTTATACAATAATTACTTATGCTATACTTATTGATTAAAATAGACAGCTTACGAATGTTAATGAGACCAGCTTGGACTATTGGTAGACAATCTTAACGGCTGAAAAAAAGTTAAAATTTGATTTCTAAGCGAATCAATGCGCATATTAAATACATATGTATTTTAAATAGATTAATGGGCATTCGAATTTAAATGGCAGTGGCAGTCAACAGTTAGTTGAATTCAGTTCCTGATTCCGTTTTGATAGTTGGGCCTAAATTTCGGCATCCTTTTTAGCATTCGCAGATTCGCCGGGCGGCACATAGAACCACCAGGCGCCCAGAAAGAACAATACGGAGCAGAGTTTGCCAATGAGGGCCAGCAGCCACATGTAGCTGCGCAAGAAGAACAAATTAAATGGAATGTTAATTAATTGCAAATGGTTCAAAACTAACCGACTTATGTAGAAATTATCGTAGACCAGACACGCGCCGCCTGCAGGCGCATCGCAGGATTCATGCCACAGGACGCAGGATTCGTCAATCAGAGCGCCAAAGATTAGGGGTGCGGGTATGGTGCCCAGCAAGCGCACCTTGATCCACTGCAGGCCCAAGGCAAAGGAACGCTGCTCATCCTGCACGCATCTACAACGGAAAGTCAAGCTAAGATTAAGGATTGGCCAGGAGGAGGAGCAGCTGCAGCAGCTTACCTGAGCGTGGCAGACAGTGCTGGCATTGTGGCCAGAAAGGTGAACAGCATTAGGACGAAGCAGAGCGCCACGAAGTAGGGCAGATTCTGGCACTTGGACTCGCACATGACATTCGTGGCCTCGGGCAGCAACGCCCCGGGATGCTCGGCATCCCAGCGCCCAATGCAGCTGCAGTTGCTGTAGTTCTTCAAGGTGTCCAGCTGCTGCTCGTTGCCGCAGCCCGCAAAGCAGGGGCTGTAGTACATGACGCCATCGGCGCCACAAATGGGATCATAATTGCTCCGGCTGCAGCCGCAGTTGGCATTGCAGGACGCCTCCAGCGTTAAGGCGCCCACCTGCCCCGGCTCGTAGGCTGTGGTCACGCCCGCGAACTGTGCATTGGGACACGTGATCAGGAAGCAGCTGGTGAAGAAGGTGGCCAGCAGCGTGGTCAAGAGGCACATTTTGATGATGCCGCCGCAGGCCAGGTTCCACTTCTTCACCAGGTAGCCGCCCAGAAAGGTGCCGCCGCCGCCGGCGGGCACCGTGATGAGACCCATCACCAGGGCCGAGATCACGGGCGAGATGCCAAACTGATTCTCGATCTGTTTGGGCAGGAAGGCGGCAAAGCCCGCTATCACCAGCCCCTCCGTCGCGCCAGCCAGGTTGAGGAAGAAGAACGTGGGATTCCGGAACAGGGTCAGCACGGCGTGCGGCAGCTCGCCGAGACGCCGCCGATGCTCCGATTCCGGTTCGGCCGCCTTTTTGGTGTGCGCCTCCGAAATCTTGGCCAGCTGCAGCTGCTCGGCACCCGGCAGGGATTTCGGATAGCCAAAGATCGGGATGGCTATGAGCACGCACACCAAGGCGGCGAACACGAAGCCAATCCACCAGGCGCCGATCCACACTTTGCTGTCGCTCGTCAGGCTCAGGCTGTGGCAAAAGGAAAAATTTTTTAATTAAATTTAATCTTTTAATAAATTGCCAAATTTGAATTTGTATGTTTTAGATATTCTTTTTAAAGTTTAATTACTTTTTAGTAAGAGTTTCATTATTTATTAATGTAATTGTAATATTTAGATTGTAATAACTGTTATACATATGAACTGTTATATTTATTATTATTTCTCTCTTGAAATTATTCGACACTCTTCACAACTCTTTAAAATCCCATTTTGAAATGCGGCTAGAAAAAGCGCGTAAAATAATTTTAAAAAAAAAACGCTGTTAATTTTTGTTTGATAATATTTCAGTCAACGATTTCTTGCACTAAAATTCTTTAGCTTAAATTGGGCATTTTAAACATTTTTTTAAATTCTTTTCTTTCTATTTTTGACACACACAAATGTTTAAATTAAAACAAAATTGTTTTTCATTTTTGTTTTTAATAAACCACGAATTTCGAGCCAGCTAAAAAAAGATTTCTATAATAAATATACATCAAATCCGAGTTTCAATTTCGAAAAAGGCCTTTTAAAATTAGGATTTTTGCCAGGGCTGCAAGATTAAAAAGTTGCATTTGGTTCTTGGTAAGAACCAAGTTCCTGCCTTTGGTTCGATTCATGAACTTGTTCATCCACAATCATGAACCAAAGACAATAAAAATTTTTTAATTTAGATCAAAACATATTTGTCGAAGTTATGCTTAAGTTATGCCGGATCGTAGAAAAAAAAAAAAATGGAAAGTGCTGGTTCAAATCGGTTCATTATTGACAAGTTCAACCTTGAATCAGAGCTGAGAATTAAATATGGCTTAAGCTGAAAATCTTTTAGTTACACACCGCAAAGCTGTTTGTTATCTATATTCCACGTATTCAAATAAATCGTAATGTCGTTAATTTACATTTATCAGCCAGGTAAAGGTGAGAACTCCCTTTGTGGCAGGCATAAACAACCATTTTATTTCTCTGCTCCCTGTTTTTCATGTTGTTGTTGTCGTGTTTTCACATAATTTAGTGGCGCGACGAGATTCGGCGGAGGGCAGCTCCCAGGCTCCGTATGACTTATGGCATATCACCTTGACAATAAGCCGTGGTGTGGCTTAGCCGGGAATGCAATGCGGCAATCCGGCGGGACGGTGCTCCGTCCGTGAATCAAACGAAAATTCGCACCTTATTTGCTCGTTGTCAGCACGAAATGTTGTTTTATTAGTCTCCGGAGATACTTACGCTCCGGCGTGCCCGCTGCTGCTTGTGGCATTTGCCACGCTGCCCCGTTTCCCCGTTGCCCGGGCAACGAATAAAACCCGTGAAGCGCCACGCGGAGCGCCATTAAAGCCATTTTTGCAGCACGCGATTAATAACAATCAACACGGACTTATCAGATGCTTAAGCGCTCCACGGAGCTCTTACACTTACTCGGCCGCGTCCACGGCAACGAAATCCGTATAAATGAGCAGCAATTGACCGCCCAGTACGTAGCCCACGGCCGGTCCAATTATGGCCATCGTATAGTAAATACCTGTCAACATAAAAAAGATGTCGATTACCAATCGAACAGATTTAATTTAAAATAATAATACTTATATTGATAATTGATCTACAATGCGCGAATCAAAATATGTTTGCATAAAAGCAAAGATGGAGTCGGGGATTTTCGGCACGCCGAACATTAAATACCCTTGTAAACATATATATATACATGCATATATGGCCTACACTATTGCAGATATGTTTAGAGAATAGTGAAGCTCGCAATTGCGAAGTTTTGTCAAGATATCTTGAAGATAAAGAAAGTTATTCCATCTCTCAAACATTCTTCTCATTCTACTCTCTCATTCTACTCATTTCTTACCGATTATACCTATAAAGCATTATATAAAAATACTATTCTGATGTTGATAACAAAAATAAATAATAAAATCATCATAAAATCAAATTAAAGAAGAAACTAAGAATAAATAGGATTTAATATGCAGAGATATATGAGAATATTAAAGCTCGCAAATGCTGATTAAAAATGAAAATATATTGGTAAAGAGAATATTTTGCCATATGAAGAAACTATTTTGCGACGGATTGTTCCTATGGCATATGATATAGTGCTCCGATATTGATGAGATTTTGCATATATATACAAAAAGCATAGTCAAGATATTTTGATAAACGGAAAAGTTTTCCATACAAGAAACTACTCTATGACTCTAGGACAGCCATGTTATATAGTGGTCCGATGTTGATGAGACTTTGAATATATATATGGGGAGCATAGTAAAACCTGATCAAGATAACTTGATAAACATAAGAAACTACTTTTCGACCGATCGTTCCTATGACAGCTTTATTTTATAGTCGTCCGATGTTGCTAGAAATTAATTAAATTCTATTGACAATAACTTGATCGATTTAAATTTCTAAATTAAATTAAATACTTTGAGCTGAATTATTTTGTCAGACTGCAACATAAAAGGCTGCCTTCTGCCACAAAATGTTGCGCCTTAGTTGGGAGGCTGCCCCGTGCCACAAAATGTTGCCTGTTTTTGCCAATAAGTCGATGCGTGTTTTATCATTTGGCTGCATCTTAATTTGCATGACAATACGCAAAGGACAAAGTCAAAGCGGCAAGTGGCAGGATTGAGGGGCAGGGGGCAAGATTGTGGGGGCACGACGAGGGCAACTGCCAATTTAATAACTTGTGCGAATGTGTTTGCACATTATCCGCTTTTGGCTGCGAGCAACAAATAAATAAAGAAAAACGAGAAGGAAGGGCTATCTTCGGCACGCCGAAGATTTAATACCCTTGCAGACCCAACCTTTGCATAATGCTCATACTGCTTCGCCCGTATCTAAGACAGCACAGGGAAAATAGTAAATGCCGAGTATGGTTAAGATATCTTGAAAAACAAAAAACTTTTCCATACAACAACTTAATTTTCGACCGATCGTTCCTATGGCAGCTATATGATATAGTGGTCCGATCTTAATAGGATTTCGCATATATATGAGCAGCATAGTAAAACTAATATGAGCCGAATTTGATCAAGATATTTTTAGAAACAAAAAAGTTTTTCATACAATAACGTACTTTTTGACCGATCGTTCCTATGGCAGCTATATGATATAGTGGTCCGATCTTAATAGGATTTTGCATATATAGAAGCAGCATAGTAAAACTAATATGTGCCGAATTTGATCAAGATATCTTTATAAACAAAAAAGTTGTTCATACAATAACGTACTTTTTGACCGATCGTTCCTATGGCAGCTATATGATATATCGACTCGGCTGTTGATGCTGATCAAGAATATATGTATATACTTTACGGGGTCGGAGATGTCTTCTTCTATGCGTTACACATTTCACGACAAAATCATAAGACCCTCTGCAAGGGTATAAAAAAGAGAACAAAAATAGACAAAATTTCCAGAAAAGCGAATTTCAATTGTTTCAAAGCGGCAGACGACGTAGCTGGACGGGTTTGATAATTCCGGGTCCGGGTCCGGGTCCGGGTCGAGGATGGGGCGCGCACGATAAACTTAACTAAGAGGCAATAAATTTTAGCTGCCGTCGCTCGTGCTTAGCGTGTCCTGGCGCGCGCGCCTCAGTTGACATGAGTCCTGGCATCAGGTCCTGAGTCAGCTTTAAAATTGGGTCAACAGGCGGGGCGGGGCGGGAGTGGACGCAGCTGCGCCTGGCATGGATATGGACCCGGGGTGCACGTTGGTAAATAGTATTCCGTTCGCTTTGTAGCCCGGCAAATAAAAATAAATATGTCTGTAATAGATCCTTTGATATGCCCGCAAGGACCCGGCGTTTGCTTAGTTTCGCAGACAGACAGACAGAAAAGTTAGCCCCAATGTCTTATCGATGAGACAGCTCGAACTTGCCCAAGTAAACAGACGACATCTTTGTGGATACGTTCTCATCCAGATAGGTGACGCCCAGCGTGAAGAGCGGCGCGGCGCCGGCGCCATGCAAAAGTTGCGCCCCAAAGAACAGCCAAACCGTCCAAGTCAAACTCTCGCCCAGCTCCTGCTCCTGCTCCTGCTCCAGCGCCTCACAGCCCTGCTGCAAAAGGGAATGATGCATTTAGTGCTAGTTGGCCAACTGGTATAAACCTCCCGTTTTCGCACCGTCGTCTGGTTCGCCCGCTCGCAGACGTTCGCCTCGGCTATGGTCGCCCTATAGCTGCCGACCAGGAAGTGCGGCAGCGCGAAGATCAGCGAGCCCAGCCCCATCAGCAGCAGTCCAATCGCAATGAAGCACGGCTTGGATGCGCCCCTCCTGCCGCCGTAGTACGTCACGGGCACCAGGCACACAAAGGAGGCCAGATCGTAGCCGCTGGCCACGAGACCCGTCTGGCGGGAACGCAAGCCGAAACGCCGCTCGATCGTCGAAATGTTCACATTCACAAATCCATTCACGATTAGGCCTGCAAGCAATATGTATAAAATTAAAACAGATTTTAATAAAATTTAATCAAGACTGCAAACCGAATTTGAGCCCAGTTCTAACCTGGAATTTCAATTTATTTTAACTGCAATATGTCTAAAGAAAAAAAACATAAAATTATTTTGGCTAAAAATATAATAAATCAAATTTGAGAGAGTTCCTTTCCCAATATCTTTATTAGGCCATTTTTGAGAGTTGCTTATTTGGGATATACATATATCTTATTGTGCACGAAATTACATATTTAGCTAAAAAATAGTTTTAACTTTTTTTTTTAATATAATAGGCAAATGTTAACATAAAATTGAATTATTTGGTTAGCATTTTGAAAATTTTGAACATATTAAATTATAAAAAATAAATAATAAGCAGATGTTTTTGTTTTGCAGCCCAGTTTGAATTAATAAAAGAAAATTATTTAAACAAAATTGGCTCAGTTCAAAATAGCCAATAAATTTGTTGAACTTCTCAATTTTACAAGTAACAAAATACAAAATTTTGTTTATTCGTGAAAACTCAATTAAATAATTCGATTTCTACGAAACTCCTTAACTTATCTAATAAACAGGTAACTTTTTATGAATTTTGCGAATAATTTTACTTTGCTTTTAAATCATTTCATTTTTATTTAGAAGAGATTTTATTGTTTATTAATATTATTTAATAATGTTCTACGATTTTTCGCTATATGCATAAAAAATGTACAGCCAATTTTGTACTTGTTCGTGTAAAGGTGTACATATGTACATATATGAAATTGGGATCAATGTTTAGCTACGCGTTACAAATATTATGTCAAAATACTATCAGTGCACCGTGAACTGATAAACTGTGACTAATTCCGGATTGTATTTGGTCCCAGCAGAGCTTAGCCTGGCTCAGGACAGGATTCAACCCCCTGACCAAAACGCCCAAATACTACTAAGGACATCATCCCTCAAAGCGGATGTCATAAAAAAAGAAATGAAGACCAGCCAAGATGATTTTATGACTTTGGTGGCAAATTCGAATTGTCGGCTACATCAACAGATTGCAGTACAAAATGTGAGGGGGGTGGGTAATAAATTAAATATCTGTACGACAAATTGATTTTACTCATAAATAAAAAAAAATATATATATATATATAATATTTGTGAGGTGCTGGGCCCATTGTGTTGCTTAGAATACGACTTGGCAGCAACAAATTCAATTTATTTTCCAATAATCGACCTGCTGGATAAATGTCCTTTTAGTCACACGTTGGACACAAACGGACGCCAGAGCTGGGGACCTGCCCGCCCCCCCGCTGAGTGTGAAAAACGGACGGGGTGGGGGTGGCGGGGGCGGGGTCGGTAGGTCGGGGGGTCGGGGCTTAAATGTCTCAAGCACTCATAAGTCATTTACCCCTGAAAACTGCAATAATATGGATCAATTTCCCGTATGAGTAAAGCGGCTGCGAGAAACTCCGGCAAAATGGAGACGGGCAGCGACTTGGCGGGAAGTCAAGTGAAGTGTTGGCGGCTTTGTTGCATACGTGACAATCTGACGATTTGTTTGCGGACATCGATTGGCTTTTCAAAAATCTCAAGCCGATTGCGAAAGGAGTGAAAAGCGATGGAAGTTCTCGCTTCAATTAGCAGGTTGTCTTTAAATTAATTGAATTAAGAGCAAGTTTTAAAAAGGATTTTGCAGCGAAACCGAAAGCCCTTTATTTTTTATAATCTAACTATAGACCATATTTAATATATCTTATAAACAAGTAAGTATAAAGTGTAAAGAATTCCATTTTATGAAATGGTTTGTCCCCATTATTTATCTAGACTTTAAATTTAATGGATTTTGAATAAATATTTTCAACACAAAAATTGTGAGGTGAACAAATGTTTTTTATTTCAAAACCGGAAACATTCGAAAATTTGAATATTAAATATATCTTATATTTAAAATACTCTAAGGTGGAATCTCTTTTTGTGAAATGGTTTATCCCCCAATATTAATCTGATCCAAAATACGCTGGGTACACCCATTAAAAATGGCTAAAAAGGGGTATAATGGTTTTTTTTTAAATGTATGTAACAGGCAGAGAAAAGCAATCCCGATCCCATTATGTTTATATATTCTTGATCAGTATCAATAACCAAGTCGATCTAAAAATGTTCGTCTGTCCGTCCGCTTGTCCGTCCGCCTGTCTGCCTGTCTGTCTGTCCGTCCGCCTGTCTGTCTGTTTGCCTGTCTGAGTGTCCGTCCGCCCATCCGTATGTATAAACGCGTCGATCGCAGAACCTAGGAGCCATAGAGCTGAAATTTCTAACGTATGCCCACCGATAACTTATTCAATTTAAAAACAATCGATCAAATCTATATGGAAATCCGGGTTTTTAAAGCAAATCTCTTTAGTGTTAAAGGCTAAAGTCCCCAAAATTTATATGCAGATTCTCGAATAGCAACGGACCTCTCTCCCTGTCTAGAGCGAGCCAGGAGAAGGTTCAGGTTATCCCCTAGTCCGGCACTTCCGACTAAAGCCCTCTTACTTGTTTTCATTTAAAATAGACATCATTCCAGCCTAAAGACTGTCCAATGTATATTCCTAGATAAAACTAAATTGATCAATTTATTTAATTTTTGAAGCCCTGTAAAATGGTTTATTATTTGCTTTGCAAACGAAACAAATCAAATGTTAAAATTTGATGTAGAACAGCAAGTTAAAAGCTAGAGAAAAGCCGTTGGAAAAGAAGCGATGCTGCAATCCCAAATTGTTGCGGATGATTTATGTTAATGCCATGTCAACTGATTAATATTTTTGGTCACGTGCCGCCATTCATAACCGAAATGCAATGGACACAACAACACGCCCGGAGAGGAAGTAGAAGGGGAAAAAGAAGAGAGATTTATCGCAGCACGCGACCTGGCAAACACTTCGAAGCTGGCGGCTGGAGCCCGGAGGCCGGAGGCGTTCAGGCTTGTCATCGCTTTGACACCAGAGGCCGGATGAGGGGCGGCGCGGGCGGTAGGGAGGGGGTGGTTGAATCCAAGTCGGAAATGCGCTCACGTAGCGCAATGTGCAACAGATGCCAAACAGAGGGAGTCCATGCATATAATCTGGCCGGTTTGTTTATGGCACGACCAAGACATAAATACGCCCATTGCCGTTGTCGAGGGCAACCGGACGCGGCACGGCTAATCCCTGGAACACGGCCTAATCCGTGCAGCAATTGCCTGAATTTTAATTAACCACATGAATACGGAACATGGAGGCGCTGCCGTTGTCCTGGCTACCAACTAAGTTGAGTACCCGCCCCGATTTGCGCTGCTCCCGATTTGTGCCTATAACAACACACACACAAACACAAGCACACACATACATACAGGCAGGGCACACACACACACACAGACATGCAGGGAGCTCAGCTTGCAGCGTTGGGTTTGGCTTCTCCTTTTCAAACTATGCAGAACGACAGTTTTTTGAGGTTAATGCATCCTCGGGCTAAGAAAAAGGATGAAAAAAAAAAAACAAGTACCGTCTGTTGACTGCTTTGGGCTGATATTAATTATTAACTCGCTTCCCATTCAGAAAGATGCCACCTACCAGGCGCTTATCTGTTGCACACAGCCTTCGGGCTGGGAGCGGAGTTGCAGCCAAAGCCGCAAAATTGCCCGGCGATGCTAATGAAGCGTTCCACTTGCCCCCCAGTCTCTCTCCCACACAGACTTAATTCAGGTTGCCACCAAGTTTATTTAAGATCTCCGGCTTGGTCGCCAGTGTTGCATAAATCGCAATTAGTGTGCATCAATTGCCGTGCCTTAAAAATGAACTCTAACTAACGCAAAACGGCGAATAACTGAATTCATTTTAGGTTTGTTAGGTAAATTCAGGTTTGTATGTCAAATATTTCCATTTACATTCATTTCAGCAACATTTCAACAAAAGTCAATTTATCACAAAATATGTTTCAAATACAACAGCTGCTAATTAACTGTAAGTTAATAAAAGTCTTGAGACGTTAGCTACTCTGTATTAGTTCGAAAAAGAACCACATTTAGATTTCTTAAGCATTTTGAAAACCTGAAATATTATATTTTTGGGTTAAACAATATGGAAAGTGCTAGATTATTAAGCCATTAACTATAAATATACCTATCTGATTTCTATATATCGGAAGAAGAAGAAGAATGAATTGAATAAATAACTTTTGTATCCTTAGCTTCAGGTCAGAAAAGCTGGAAACAGTGAAAACTCGCGACGGCAATTTACATAAAAGATTCGCAACAAAATTTGAAGCAAAATGTTTGCTACTTTAAAAAAAATCAAACCAAAACTACATTAAAATATTTAAAGAAAATTGTTAAGCCCGTGGAAGATTAAATTAATTTTTAATTAAATTAAATTCATTTTTATTTTAATTTTGATTTTTTTTAACTTGAATATGGGCATATCTATGCTTATCTAAGAATAATAAAATATATTATTTTATTAATTTAATTTATTTTCTATGATCAAATAGCTTTCAGGAAGTTCAAAACTTTCTAACACCTCTATCAAAGTTGTTATTTTATGAATCAGTTTTTAAATGTGCATTTCGAAAAAGAATTTAATATGATTTCTCGACTTAATCGGAAAATTCCATCCATGTATAACAGATGTAAAAGCTACTATAATAAAGAATCCCAATGTTTGCTTCAATTATGATATGGAATATAACATTAAATTACTAAACTGCAGCATATTACCAGGTGCAAAAGGTGTGTATTTACAGATCTGAAGCTAATTTGTATTTTATTTACTCAACAAAGTAAACCAATATGGTTAACCCAGATTAGATAACTGCATCAGATAGTCGTTAGATAAGATGGGAAAGTCAAACAATTGAATCATTTGCACTAGAAAACTGATTTTCTTTTTTGTTTTTAGATGCACTTTTATATTATTATTTTTTATATTATATTTATTATTATTTTATTTTTTTTTACGATTTTAGCTGCAACTTTGTGGATTAAAATAACTTTATCTTATCTTATTAAATATAACTTAAGCTTCGCTTTTACTCATATGCCCGAAAGAGCTGTATTCAAGAGCAATGCATGTGGGCGGATCAGCGAGACAATGAGACAATGTTAAATGAATTAAGCACGGCTCACAATCAAAATTTGTGTGTGCCGATAGATACCCTCTACCCCCTACCCCACCTCACCACCAACACTTACCCTGCAATGCGCCGCCCCAGCAGAGCCAGAAGAGCGCCCACTTGGCGGTGCAGAAGCGCTGCAGCCACTGCGGCTGGAAGCGAAGCCAGCCAAAGCGTTGCTCCTCCAGAGCTGCGGCATCCGTGCCGCTGCCCGTTGCGCTGCCAACGCGGCTGGAACGGGCGCTATTGTTGTTGTTCATGCTGCCGTTGCCATTGCTGTGCTTTGGCGCACTCGTCTCCAATGTGGCAACGGTTGACACATTATTGCACTCCCCAACAACAGCCTGTGATGTGGACATTTTCGAATTGAACTTGGTTTTTTAATTTGGTTTGAATATTTCACTCGCACTCGCGACTGTTGCGATCCGCACCGAACGAAGCGCCAACTGCAACTGAACGCACAGATTTGAATTGCGCCAAGCCAGAGCTCAGCCTCAGCCTCAGCCTCTGCGACGTTTCCTGATGCTCGCCGCTTAACAGCGCTCAGGACTTAACATGAACATTAACAGCGCTCTGTTAGCTTGCAAAAGCAACCCCAAGCAAATACCAACACACACACATACATACATATACACTCACATCTCTTGGCGTAAACAAACTCGGGACTTTATGAATGAAATTTTATGCCTTTTACCCACACACTGCCTCCCACCGCATGCACCCCCCCCCCCCCCTCCCCCTGCCTGACATGTGTTTCGCATATCAACAGTTGTCAAGATATTTAATTTGATTCTAATTTAAAAATATCTTAATGTGCTCGCTTGCAGCGAATTATATTTAAAGAGCACTTAAATAATGTAAAAATAAATTATTATTCCTCTCTTTATGACAAAATAATGAAAGCTATTATTTTACTTGATTGCATCTGAACAACAATTAGCTTTAGTTATGGTGTTTATTTAATTGTTGTGACATTTTAATTATTCCCAAACAAACTTTTGATAAAATTAAGAGAAATATGCTCTTTGAGTAAAAAATTAACTGATTCTTTCTAAGGCACAACATTTATCTATCGTTATCTTAATTTTCAACGGGCAGAAGCGCTTTTAATCTCACTGTTCATAACCTGTTCACAAAGTAAAACGAGCATATTCGTTTTGTGCAAAGTCTGTCATCATTAATTCTGTCTGTCGTATAAATTCACTTATTTTCGACTGTTTTAGGTTGAGAGAGTTTCCACTTGAAAGACTTAGAATTTATTTATTTATTTATTTTTTTGTTTTATTATATCTATATTATTAGAATTTTTAAACACGCCCACCTTAACGGATTCTTATGGTCTCTCTCAAAGCTCAAAACGAAAATAAGACTCTTCCATATGAAAAATAATAATAGTATAGAATAAATATATCTACAAGGCAAACCAAATATATAAGGTCCACGCCCACTTCCACCTATTCAAAAAAAAAAAAGTATTCATGAATAGTCACAGTTATAAAATCACCGTATAAAAGTAACAATTTAACAGTTACTAATTCTCTATCCACTCGCTCTCAGCTGTGAACAGAGTATTGCGCAGTCGGTAGCAAAAATGAGAGTGCGTATCATTAAGTATATATATGTGTATACATGTATATTTATATATGTATGCTTGTTAAACAAATACATTGCTAACGTTACATTTTTGCAGTTGGAACTTAACTACAGGATAAACTTTTATGGCAATGTTAAAGTTCACGCTTGATTTCGTTTCACTTTCACGCACAGACAAAGCCCCAGAATAACTAAAGCTTTTGACTAAAATCTTTAGTTAATTTATTTAGAAATAATGAAAAACTTGTATCAGGAAAAATAAATAAAAAGGACATTTCATTGTCTTTAAGAGTCGCCGCCAATGAGAATCAATCGCCCGTCATCATTTCCATGAACTCTGCCAAAAGAGAAAGACGCGAAAAGATTTAAATATAGAGATTAGCTAATCGGATCGAATGGATTATGTGATTGACATACCGTCAAAATCGACGGTGCCGGAGCCGTCGGTATCGATTTCGGCAATGATGCCGTCCAGATCGCTGGAGGACAGCTTGTCGTCCAACGCGGCCAGGATCTCCTTGAGCGTGGATGTCGTTATGTAACCGTTGCCCTCGCGATCGTACAGGCGGAACGCCTCCTTCAGCTCCTTTTGTATGGCCTCGGCGTCCTCCTCTTCGAGAAAGTGGGCAGCAATGCTGCAGAAGCCATCGAAATTCACCTTGCCCGTATCCTCGGGATCGTTCTCATCGATCAGATCCTGCAGCTCGCTCTCCTCGAACATCTGGCCCATGCTGTTCAGTATGGTCTTCAGCCGCAGCGTCTCGATAAAGCCCGACTTCTGGGTGTCGAACATCTGGAATGCCCTGCGCATAATTTCCATTTTCTCATCGTCTTCCTAAATCGTACATATCGTTTAAATATATATGGAAGACACCTCTGCACTATGATATAATACCCGATGGCAGCAATGCGTACCATTTTATATTGCCGCCGGTTTGCTTTGCTGTTCCGATTATGAATGCGGGGTATTCCGAATCCGAATGCGAATGCGAGTGCGAGTGCTTTGGTTTTGGTTTTGGTTTTGGTTTGGGCAACTGCCTTTGTACGAGCTGCTGCGTTGGAACGCGAACGTGCACTAATCCGATCGTCTGGCCAAGATCATTATTTATAAACAACAAAAATTTCAGCTAAGTGACTACGTCACACGCACGCAGCCCCGGCCCCGCCCCGGCCCCGCCCCGGCCCCGCCCCGGCCCCGCCCACTTTGGCCGCCCATCCTTCAGAATGGGTTATTGTTGTTTTGGCTATGGCCGCAACGCCTTATTAAAAATGACCAAATATAACCGAAGCGCTCTCATCACACACACATGCATATGATTATTGGAATGTGCGCCCAAACGGAAGCGGAGGAGGAGGCGGGGGCGGGGGCGGAGACTGCCCAGACACACAGATCAAAGTGGTGCACGGCCAGGTCGGTCAGACTAAGGTCGGATGCCACCACAAAAAAAAAAAACCACGACGTCATTCTTCAACTCTCTTCCACGTCTCCGGACAAAATGATTCAATCATCAGCCGAAGTGCCAAATGGCACACATTCACCCACTCTCCCCCCCCCATCCCCCCTCCACTCAGCCTCAGTCACTAAAAATCGGCTATAAACGTCCTCACAATCAGTCACAAAATCAGCGCAAATTTCTCACGGTAATTGTATTTTTAGTACTTTATAGCAATTTTTTCCATATGATCATGCGAGTGGGCCAGATGTCGATGTCGATGGCGATGGCGATGGCGCTGGCGCTGCCGATCCCGATGCTCTTTCTAGCTGTTATAGTTGAGGAGCACCAGAAAAAATTCACCTCTCCGGGCGCGTAAATTGTTTTCTGCGGAAAAAACAAACAACTAAGCGCGCTCTGGTCGGGTATGTCCGACCAAGAGATGCCCTAAATGCAGCTGCAAGCTGGCCTTACACACATTTTAGCTATCTCAGCTATACACACACACACACACACACACATGCACTCACAGCTGCGCCTGCTTCTTCTTTCTCCAGCCCCAAACTGTAGGCAATGCTTTCTTGAAATAACTTCGGTGCGTATAGTCCGATCTTTACGAAATTTACAGGGCTTAGATATGACAGCCAACTCTCTTCTATTATCGACTCTTTTCTATTATCAATTTTTGGGGGAATGGGGAAAGCTGCCCAAAAACTAAACATAATATTGAGAATCTGTGTTCACTATAAATTAATCTAAGTATCATGCTATATCTAGCTCTTACAACTCTCGAGTTATGCTTTAAATATTCAAGTTTTATTATCAATATTAACCAATTCTAAAGAAGAAGATTTTTGCACCTATTCGAAAAATATAAATCGAAGTCTTTTCAATAAATACAAGAATATATATTGCCAAATTTCAGTCTATAGCTTTGTTAGTTTCCCAGATCATGAGATGCATACAGACAGACTATCTATATATTTTATATCTGTGTGTTACATACATTGGCACAAGCACATCATACCCCTTTTGGTACATTTTCAATGGGCTCAGGGTATAAAAAATGTTGATGTGGTTTTAGATTTTTGCGTTAAAATAAACAAACAGGCATTTCAGGCTGGCAAATGGACATCAGAAATTGTTGGACGTGCACCAAGCCAGTGGACAGGTCGTGCGGGGCGGGGCGGGGGGCGCGGCGGGGCGGAGCGGGGCATGGTGTTGCAGCGGCCTTAACGCCCCTGCGCCTGTGTGGGTGTGTGTGTGTGTGTGTGTGCGTGTATGTTGTGTATAACCTTCTGACGAATTGGTTCGTTTTGTGTGCGGCATTTTTGGCAATAGCCAAAGGCAATTTGATTTTTATTATTTATGACAAAACGTGAAGCACTTTGGAAAGCACTTGTCTGTACATGCGCGCGCGTGTGTGTGTGCGTGTGTGAGTGTGTGTGTGTGCGTGTGTGTGTGTGCGTGTTTGTGTGGTTCGGCAATGAGTGCACTTATACATGCACACACACACACATACGCGTGTGTGTACCTGGCAGATACTTTGCTCGATTGTTTGTTTTTTTTTTTGAGTATTTCGGTTGGAATATTATCGTATAAATAGCACATACATTCACATATGTCGTAAGTTTTAATTTAGTTGCTGACAGTTGGTGGCTAAATTTACGGTTAATTAACCAAAATAAATTGTATAATCCAGAAGCGTTGCGAGCCTTTGAAAATGAAATCCCCAACATTTCGTACAGTCGACCCGTCAATCTTTTCTCTAAGTAATGCATAAGCTATAAATAATTTTTGTTTAATTTCAGTTGAGTTGCGCCAAAGGTATTCGAAAAGTGAAATATTTTTTTATTTGTTTATGCTATGCGCGCAACTACATGCCAAATTTGGTGATCTCTAGCTCTCAAAAGCATCGAGATGTGCTTAGAAAATATGGGCCAGGAAATCGATATTTATCGAAAAAAAGAAGGGGAACAAACAAGTGGGTAGACTTCAAAATTGTACTATGAACCTAACCATGAACTGAACAAGCTCCACATAAAACAGACGATCCTAAGCACGAACCAGAAATGACTCAGACTCTAACCCAACCATATTTTGTGGCTGCCAACTTTGAGTGGGGATCAAATTTAGTTTTTGAAAGAATATCAACTTAACAGGAAATAATGAAGATATATATATAGCTTTGCTATCACTTTTTGTTATACTGAATTGGGGGAAATTAGCCAATTCATGAACCGCTCATGAACCTATGACAATTGTTTTTTGTATGTTATGCGGCCAAGGTTATTGCTCATTCAAAAATCCCAGACACTAACTCATTCAAATATTGCTAGGTATATTCAAATATCTTTGATTAATTCCCTATTCATACACTTTTAAGTAACTCTACCGGGGTGAACAAATGCACGACTAATTTCTTGTCTTGTGTATAAATGAAGAAACAAATAACTTCCCATTAAATTTCCCTAAATACATTATCAAATCGACAGTTAACTTAGTTTACACAGCTTAAGCTCCCTAAATAATACCTTATTTGCACACAAATATCCCAAGCTTTAAAAATTTCCTCAATATTTGATGAACGGCAAATGGAAATTTGGGAAAAAGCCGTGAATGCTGCAGTCCAAAATTATTGCGAATGATTTATGTTAATGCCATGTCGTGATTAATATTGTCGGTCACGTGCCGCCATTCATTACCGAACACACCCACACACATACATTTTCAAGGTGTTTTTATTTTATTATGAATCTTTTTGCCTTTTATTAAAAAAAAAAAAAGATTAAAATTGGAACAGAAGTGAGAGTGGGCGGATCAGCGAGACAGAGCTATTAAATGAATTAAATGAAAATTTGTGTGTCTGCAGATTAACCACAATTGCCATGCGGGCCTCCGCTGGAATTGATGCCAGTCGTGGATGTCCTGACATGTGGACATCCTCCAGTTAAACTTGTTTTTTAATTTGATAAATTCACTGGCACTCGCGACTGTTGCGATCCGCACCGAACGAAGCCCCAACTGCAACTGAACGCACAGATTAGAATTGCGCCAAGCCAGAGCTCAGCCTCAGCCTCAGCCTCTGCGACGTTTCCTGATGCTCGCCGCTTAACAGCGCTCAGGACTTAACATGAACATTAACAGCGCTCTGTTAGCTGGCAAAAGCAACCCCAAGCAAATACCAACACAAACACACACACACATACACATACATATACACTCACATCTCTTGGCGTAAATAAACTCGGGACTTTATGAATGAAATTTTATGCCGTTTACCCACACACTGCCTCCCACCGCATGCACCCCCCCCCCCCCCCTTCCTGACATGTGGTTCGCATATCAACAGTTGTCAAGATATTTAATTTGATTCTAATTTAAAAATATCTTAATGTGTTCTTGAGCAGCAAATAACATTTAAGGAGCTCTTAAAGAATTTGCAAATAATTTATTTGAATAAAATTTTTTCAAGCAAAAAAATGCAGTCATTATTCAAACAAATCATCTTAACAAAAGTGTGCTTCACATGTTAAGACTCTTTTCAAGCTTAACACGAATTATTTTGGATTAGATTTACGAAATTAAATTAACGGGTCTAGTAGATTTTCTAAGCTATATCACCCTCTAAACTTCCTTTGGAAAGGAAACTGCGCTCCTTTGCGGCATACTCAAAGCAAGGCACAGCTTTTCGTCTGGATATAAGAAAATGGATCGCCTGGAAGATACGTATACGACATATGTAAGTAGTAAGCAATCTTAGGCTATCGCTTAAAACCTTATACAGGCAATGAAAGGAAGAAACACTTTAAAATTTAATACACCAAATTTTACATCCGAAATAAAACAACAAATCTTACATTTACACTTGACTTCATTATAACTTTTAAAAGTTTATTCAGTAATTTTTTAGTAGTTTCTCTTGGTTTACTAAATATGAGCTTAAATTATAAAAATATGTGTGTCGTCTACAAATAGTTAGCCAATCTCTTTTGTGAAAATAAATGTATATTCATTTTCAGAATGGTCTATTTTGGACATCTGCTTACGTTCTTAAGAAATCAATGTAATTATTGGAAACTAAAAAAAAAACAAACAAAAAATTTATTTACAGTGCCTGAAAGCGAGTCGAGTTCTCAGCGCACCACAAAAAATTATTACAATTTGTAAATTAAGTACAAACAAAATGTTTGGATCATTGAAAGAAAAAAAAAATAATTCAATTAAACAATAAACTGATCAAAACAAAAACAAAAAGCGCAACATTAACAACAAAAATTATAAGAAAAAAAACTAAGAAAAATAATATGTAGTTTAATGCGTAAATAGTTAAAATTGGGCTGCGGCATCTAAAACAATTATCAATTATTTACAAGATCTTTTCATATACGATACTAAGTATGAATATTTATTCAGTATTTCATTTTTTATTTTCTAGAATTGGCAGCTCGAAAAGTTGTATTCTTTTTTTTTGGCATTTGCAACAGGCTGCGCTTAAACTGGATATTCTTTAGATTATGCTTAACAAAGAAAAGAAAGAATAAAGCATATATGCGTTTAGTTATTGAAAAATGTTTGCCTTTTGTTGGGGTTTGTTTGAGTTTGTTCGCTTTGAGCGAATTTGTTGCGTACTTAATTCGTATGCTTGGTTTAACATGGATACAGTGAACGCTTTGGGCACTACGACAAATATCACATAATGAGATCAATTGGATTTATTTTGGGTTTTTGTTTGTTTTTGTTTTTTTTTTCTATACTTTCTTCGTGAAATATATATATATATTTGTAAGAATGTACGATGTCATTTGAACTTAACATTGCCTACTGATTGACTGGTGGGTTTATCATTCAATTATAGTATTTCGAGCAAACCGATTTCTCAATAAACCAATTTTCGCATATATGCTGGTATATATATATATCCAGGCAAATGGCATGATTAGGCGCAGCCTGTGGCAGGCCAAACAGCACAAGTCTTGTTATAAAGTGTAAGTATACATGCTCTATAAGTAATTGCTTGCCATTTGTCGAGGTTTATTTATTATTATAATGCTTGTCATTTCATTATATCTTATATATGCAAACATAATTGAATGTGTTCCTGGTTGAACTTAAGTATGCGTAACAATCTTTTTTGGTTTCTGTGTTAAATGTTAGGGGGTAAGTACAAAATTAACAATTATCAAGAATACAACTTTTCAAATGCCAAAATCAATCAAACTCAAGTTGCCCGAAACTTTATATAATTATATAGTTGATTTTTTGTTTTTAGCCTAATTTGCTGGCCTAATTTACATACATTTAAGTAGTTGTTTTCATATTTCATTTAAAGTTTTTGCAGCTTTCACATGCCATATGATATCATAGTTAAAATATATATGTATATATATATAGATATATATTTTGTATAATTAGGTATATACGTATATAAAACTTAAAAAGAATTTAACCAAAAAAAATAGATATATATATATATATGTGTGTGTGTATATGTATAGTAAAATATTAAAATAAAACAAAGTTATGTTTAAAACTTGTGTACTCTTGTTTCTTATTGTTACAGTATTTTGTGTGTGTGTGTGTGTGAGAGAGTTGGGTTGGGTTGGATTGGGTTGGGCTGAGGAGTAGCAGAAGGATATACCCTTGCTTTTAGTGTCTTGACAGAGGGTGGGCTACAGAGAGACAGAGTGGGGGAGGGAGAGTGTTAAAGAAGGGAGAACGAGTCAGGGATAATGCCGAGGTGGGTTTTGCTATTGCTGCCTTTCCTGCTCAACATTGTCAAATTGCACACGTCATTTTTGTTGCTTTTATTGGGTTAAGTATTTAATGACCTAAACCAGCCCCCAGATCCTCCTGCTGTGGCGGCTGCTGCTGCGCCGTCTGTTGCTGCTGTTGCTGCTGCTGCTCCGCATCTGGCATATCGGACACCTCGCTGTGCATCACAATCTCAATGTCGCCCAGCTCGGCAGCAGCCTCGGCCGACAGCGTCATATCCTCGACGCGCGTCAGCTTTTGGAGCGTGTGCAGCGTCTCCTCGTTAATGGTATGCTCCGGCGAAATGTTCTCCTTGAGCTCACGCTTCAGGCTCAATGGCATGTGCACTGCATTGCATTCTGGCGGCGATGGCGACTCGGCAACATTGCTCAATATTGGCGATGTCGCCATGGCCACCGCACTGGGATTGACATCCAGCTGCGACGCAGCGCCCACCCCATCCCCGCTGTTGTTGAACGAGAGGTTCTGGCGGAACACCTGCTTCCCAAAGTCACGCAGCTGACGCGACGCTGTGTCCAGGAATGAGGTGCTGCCAGCGCCCGTCTCCAATCCAGATGCTCCTGTCGCCAATGACCCCGCTCCCGCTCCCGCTCCCGATCCGGCTCCCCCTGCAGCTGCTGCTGCTGTCGTCGCATTGTTGCTGCTGCCGTTGCCTCGCGATGGCGGCGTTGTTTTGCGTGTCGCCAACAGCGTCACGTTGACGTCACCGCTGCCGCCTGTTGTGGTATTTATTGTTGTTATATCTGCGAACAGCACAAAATTAAACATTGCAGACGAATATCAAGTGAAAAAGAGAAAACTTTGCAAACGCAGGAAATTCATGCTTAAATTCTTAAAGCTAAAACTAGATCCCATGAACTTCATGACCAATGCCTGGCCTGGTGATTTCCCTGAACAGCCTTTTGAATTATACTGGCTAAACAATTTACACAGGAGCATGCTTGCAATTATATAAGGACACGCTATGTTCTAAAAGATTGTTTCCCCAATTCCGTCTGTCCTTTAACATCCAACAGTCTGACTAACTTGTCCGTGAATTCCCGAAACAATTATTGAATAAACTAACAGCGATATATTAATCCGGAATTAACTGGCTATGTTTTTTTCTAGAAATTATGATATCCTGAGTATTTGAATTTTTTCTTTCAACGTTCCCATTTCCACAGCGGAATGAGTTTCATGCAAAAAATTTTCCAAAATTGCACGTAGAGTATCGAATACAAATTTAATGCCGATCGGAAGAAATTAAACTCGGCCCATTGACTTCCATTTTCCACCCGTGGCGGTGGATTTTCTGGAAAGTGTGAAACACGTCTCCAATGAATTTAGCACAAAATTAATTGAAAATAAATGAAAAGCCAGTAAAGTCGCATACAAAGTTTTCCACCAATTTTCCGCACTTGCGGGTGGATTTTATCAAAAAGCCGACTAATCATCCAGCTTCTTTGCTCTTGTTGAACACTAATCAGTCAGTCAATCGTATAAATCAGTGTTGAAAAACGCTTTTATACAGATACGCCTAACGTTTCGTCTCTATAAACTTAAGATACCCATTAATAACCTAGCTTTAGAGCTAACAAACTTCCCTGCGTGATATATACCCTGAAAGCCTTGAAGCACGGAAACGGATCACAATTACATAATATTTCCTGCATACAACCCAATTTCAGGTAGAACTGTGTTTGAAATTGAAAAAAGTTAATGACTTTTGACTAACTCTGTGCGTTATTTGTGAGCGGAGCCACAGCTGAAGCTGGAACTGCCTTTGATTCCGGCGAAGAGCTGCGCTGAAAAATGGCGCTCGGATTGAATAGGGTGAGCAGCTTGTCCACAGTCGTTGGATTGGCTATCCACGAGGATTTGCGTGCACGTGTCGCCGGTTGTTGTAGCTGTTGTTGTTGCTGCTGCTGTCCCGTTGCAGTTGCTGTCGGTGTGGACTCTGCGGGAGGATTGCCGGCATCCGTGCTGATTGAGGCAGCCGCCGAGAGTGCCGCACCGGCGGCCGAGTCCTTGGTGAGCGTTATGTCATTGTCACCAAACACGGCAATGGGACAGCTCTTGGCAACAACAATGGTAGCCGGCTCCTCCGGGCTGCCGGAATTATCCGTATTATCCGTGTTGTCGGTGGTGATGTTGCTGGCGCCGCTGCTGGTGCTGCTGCTGCTGCTGCCTGTTGCACTGGACACGGAGACGGGCGAGGTGCTGCATGAACTGGATGAAGTGCTGGGCGAGTTGGGCGACAGCTTCTGTATAGCTGCCTCCTCCTGATCCAACCCATTTGTACTTTGTTGGTGTGCGCTGTCATTGTCATTGCCATTGTCCGCGACGGTGGGTGATGGCTCCACAATAATCACGCTGCTGATGGGCATCGCTGTTGTTGTTGCCGCCGTTGTCATTGTGCTGGCGGAGATTGTGGGTTCGGATTCAACTGCTGTGATTGTTGCCTCAGCCAGCTGAGCGGCGGCGGCCTTGCGCGCCGATTTGAGCATCGGCGTTGGCGGCAAGTGAATCGGTGGCGTCTGCGGATCCTCGTAGATCCGCGAGACATGAAAGCGCGAACGCGGCGACACGGACAACCGCTTGACGGTCTGTGTGGATGAGGTTACCGATGCCATCGATGGCAGCGAACTTGACGTCGGCAGCGGCAACACGGCAATGGCATTAAGGCTGCTCTGGCTGCCCAGCAGCCCGCCGGCACCGATGCCACCATTGCTGCTGCTGCTGCTGCTGCTGCTGATGCTGCTGATGCCGCTAATGCCGCTGATGCCGTGGGCCGTCGGTATGGACATGCAGCTGCTGGCCGAGCGAGGCGTCGGCGGATGCTGTGGCGGCATCTGGGCCAGGGGCGAGGTCAACGGGCTGCTTATCTCGTTGACGCGCGACACATGAAAGCGGCTGCGATTGGGCGAGGAGGACGGCGATATCGTGGGCGGACTGGGACCCGGTGAGCGCAGACGCGCGTTCGTCTTGCGCTTCACCTCCAGTTTGGCAGCCGGCGTCGGCATTGCGGTTACTGCCAGAGCAGCGGACACAGTGCCCGTCGCTGCGTCCACCAGCGGCCGGCTGTGGCACGTCAGCGAAATCTTCCGCGAGCCCAAGTAGTAACCGCCGCGACACCGACTCTTGATGCTGCCCCCGATGGCGCCATTGCTGTTGCCTGCGTTGTTGTTGTTGCTGTTGCTGCTGCTGCCGCCACCGCCCACGTTCGCCGCCTTCTCCGCCAGCTCCAGCTCCTCCGCCTGCATTTTCTCATTGCGCGAGCACATGGAGCGCACTGTGCCCAGTACTCGCGTATAATCCAAATGCGCATCGCTGCCGATCTGCAATAAAAAGCCAACAACATTTAATTCCAAATACGATTTGCTTTTTATCTAAAAATAATAAATAAATGCAATTATTTGTAGTGTGTGCAAAACTGAAAGCTTTTCTTGCTTTTTAATGTCTTCCAGTTAAATAACAATATATTTGAAAATTTTTAGTCACTATTTTAGCTATAGAAAAGTTTTTATTGTACTAAAAATACTAAATTATTTTTTATTTAAAAAATATTAGTTTGAGAACTTTGAGAAATATTTGGAACTAAAATGATGAACAAGTTCAAAAGGAAGTTATTGCTGAATATTAATAATTAGTAGTTCATGATACACTACTAACTGTATCTGGAACTGGACGATATTTGGAACTAAAATGATAAAGGAGTTAAAAAGGAAATTGTTGGCTGAATTTTCTGCATTTGGTTCTAAGAACTAGTTACTAAACCTAAAAGCCAGGCTCCAAATCTACATTCACCGTTTCGTAACCTGAATATTAATAATTAGTAGTTCATGGTAAACTATGAACTCTATATGGAACTGGATGACGTAAATTAGAAAGTCCGGTTCACGCGCCAAAGAGACGAGACTTTGGTTCAAGCCGTGAGCCATTTTCAACGTGAACGTTTTTAACTACCTACAAAACTAGTTCTATTTAATTAAAAACGAATTCTTAAAGTTTACTAAGCCTGAGACAGATTTTAATCTCAATATTTTGAATATATAATAATTTATTACTGAACAAAATATAAAAAAAAATGTAATTCACAGTATTCGAATCTCTAGAATAGGTTACGTTAAGTTTTTATGTATATATATAAAATATTTTTGAAAATATTTAGTTTTTTATTGTTAAAAAAGAACACATTTCTGTTATGCACACTCTCAAATAGTTGTTATAAAAAAAAATGTAGATCGTGCTCAGATTTTTGTTTTGTTTTTGCTTTGTTTTTTTTTTGTTTTTTTTAGCTAAGGTGATTTCTTAAAAAACGAAATTGCAGCTGCAGAACTTTTGCGTTGTTAGCATTGTTAGCGTAATTATTAGTGGTAGCAAGCCAAGAGATCTCAATGCGATTAGGCCCAAGAGCAGGCGGAGAAGTACTTAAGAGAGGAGCGAGAAAATATTTGCTGGATGTTGTGGCATTTACTTACGCTATCCTGGGCCATTGGCGTTGGCGGCACAACTTTAACAATCGGCACAATGGGTAACTTTGCGATGAAGGAGGAGTTGGCAACAATAGCAACAATAACAGCACGAAATGAAAATGATTCAATTAAAAGTCAACAATCAACGCAACACACAACTACAATTTGGGATATTCTAGAGTCGAGGATATCTTCGGCTGAGGCCAAAGTCATGAATGTCAATTAACTAGGCAAAAGCCAAGGCAAATCCAGATGGAACTTGGAAATACTGTAACTGGAAATACTTGGGAGTAAATTTTAAGAAACTAAACATGACCCAATAATTCGAAAATTTAGAAACTGTTCGAAACCCCGTTGGAACTTTATGCCTGTATATAATAAAGACCAAATTTTAGCTGATTTCTAATAATTATTTCACCGAATCTTAAACCGGACATTTAAAATAGGCACAAGTCGAGCTCGACCTGAACCTTGCTTGGACCTTTTTTATTTTTTTAATAGCATTTGGGAATATTATAAAACAAAATTTAAATGTTTACGATAAAATGGGAAAATCTTAAGGAACCAGACGAGGCAGAGTTTTTTTGGGTGTACGTGTCAAATATTTTAAATAAAATAATTTAATCAATTTAAAACCACTTGAAACCCATTTGAAATCAGCTTTAAATAACCAAAAAATTGATCATTTTTTAGATATAGGTCTATAAGCTATATCTATAAATCCTGTCTGCAACCACATGATATTTTTCAGATACCCTATAAATACTCCCTTTTACCTTAGCTCAGTTAATTGACATTGAGATATGTGGAGAAAAAAACGAAAATAACTTCTTTAACAACTCAGCTGCAGCTCCTGCATTGGAATCATGACACACACGCATCATTTGTATGGGAAGCAAAAATATTAACGTGTTCGATGGGCGGGCGTTGAAAAGGTCAATTGTCAAAGGTCATCATAAATAGCTTACCGTTAGACGCTTGGGCTCATCATTGATGTCAATTTGGGTGATCGTCTTGTTGGACTTGAGCACCTCGGCAATTATGTTCAGACTTTCCACCTCTAGTTTATTGTCACGTATATCGATGCGCTGCAATTTGCTGTTGCCGCCAAAGGTCAGGATGGAGGCGAGCGTCTCGATGCCCTTGGCGCTGAGATGGGCGCTCTGCAGGCCGAGCGTGGTGAGCGTTGTGTTCTTGGTCAGGCTGTCCTTGATGGTGGCCACAAAGTCATTGGACAAACAGTTCTTGCCAATGTTGAGCAGCTCCAGCGAGGAGCTGCGCGAGAGCAGCTCCGCAATGCAGGGGCCGCAGTCCTTGGTCAGATTGTTGCTCCACAGGGCGAGCGCCTTGAGGCCGCTGGGCGCACGATTCGCCGCCTCCAGTGTGGCATCGACCAGCTGACGGCGCGAGAGCGTATCGTTCTTGGTCAGCTTCTCGGCCAGATGCGGATCGGCTGCACTCGTGCTGCCGTCCAGCGAGTTCTCGCTGCACAGACTGTCCGAGCTCTGGGAGCGATTGCGCGTCGACTGATTGAGATAGGCACAGCTGGATTCGGTGCGACGCAGGCCGCTGCTGACGCCACCCGGCGATGTCGATGGCGGCGGCGGTGTAGGTGTTGGACTGGGACATGGACTGGCACTCGGTTCCTTCTCCTTGGCCTCAATTGTTACCTTGGGCACCGTCGCCACAATCACTTCGGGTGTCTCCGGCTCCAGCTCCAGCTGCGGCTGCGGCTGCATGTGCACAACTGGCGTGGGCGTGGAGGCGGGCGTGGCTGCCTCCTCGGCCACCAGCAGACACTCGGTGGACTCACTGGCTATGGTCGCCGTCTCAATGGCAATCTCCTTGGTCATGTCATCCAGCCGTGTGCTCTCCAGCGACACGGACAGACGACTAAACTCATCCGGCAAATGGCGACTGATATCGCCCTCCGAGGCGCTCTCGAATGCCGAATCTGTGCTGTGCGTATCCTCGAAATCATCGCCAGCCTTCGCATTCTTATTCATGTCCAGCGGCCGTGATCCGCTCGGCCCGGCAATCCCATTGATGCAGTCGCTCTCCTCGGCGGTCACCTCAAATATGGATGCGGCACCGCTTGAACTAACGGCGACTGTTGCAGCTATTTGGTTTAGTATTACAGGATTATTATTATGGTTGTGGTTGTTGCTGTTGTTGTGGTTGTTGTGGTTGTTGTTGTTATTGTGGGAATTAGCATTGTTATTCTGTACACAGGTTTCATTGGGTTCAACGGTTTTAGCCTCTGTTGAGGGAGTAATATCTGCAAAAAGAAAAATTCAATATTAATACTTTAATAAAATAAACAATTAAGTGGGGGCAATGGGATCTGACATAGTTAAAGCAATTTTCATGTATCCTACGTGTAGGTGAGTGCTATCAAAAATCCTTTTAAGTCTATTTAACTAACATATAAACATTAACTTTTAAATATAAATTAAAGCTTTACTAGAAATCAGATGCTATTAAAAATACTCAAGATGAGTTTTACTAGAAATAAGATAATAATAAAGAATTAAAACCGTAACATAACTTAAAAAATAATACTTGTTGCTCGAATATTAGAATTTTCATTTTGTCTGCATCAATTGACCGCAAACTATAATTACAATTTCTTTCGAATTTTGTAAGAACCCAATAAAATGGGTCTAAAATACAGTATTAATACGCTAATCTTTTGCACTCCTTAATTGTTTTTTTTTTTATTTTTTTATTATATTATTTTTTTTAATATAATTTAATAAATTTATTATTTATTTATATTATTATTTTTATATAACTTGCTGGTTTTGGCGACCTTTTCATTTTATAAATCTTAGTTTAGTTGATTTGAAATTTAATTTTTCTTTTTTTATTATTTTTTTTTAATTTTTTATATTATTACTTTAGTATTTATACAGCATCTTTTGCACAATTTAATACGTTATTATTATTTATTTTAATTTTGTTATTTTTAAATTTGTTTTAAATATTTTTTTTTTAATTTATATTTTTATAATATTTCTTAAATTTTTATAATATCTATTATACTTTTAGAAGATTTATTTAATTTTTATGTTTTTTATTATATTATTTTTTATGTACTTTTTCTGAATTATATTTTTGTATTAATCTTTTCATACATTTAGATCTTTTATTTAATAATTATTCGATTACGCTTTTAAATTTCAACAAATTATAGTTCTTTGCAGCCAGGATCTTCTGATTTTCGAGCAATAGATATAGTGCAAAGTTATATAAATGTTGCCTAAATGATCGTCCCCATTCATACAAAGGATTTTATTTTACAGCTCCTTTTGGCATTCAAAACATTTTCATTGCGACTTTTAAAAATAATACTTTACAACTTTAAAGATGTATTTCGTGTATATATATAAACTTTTTCAATCTACTAGGTAAATATATATATAAGTTATATATTCGCTTGGTAAGATATTGTGAAATGTGAATTTCATTTCGGCCGTTCCGATTTTCACTTTCGGCAAGATCATGCGGTAACAAGTCCCTAAAGTAAAAACCGGGAAAATGCCCAAAAATAATCTGCAAGGTCAGCTGCAAAAATGTCAGTTAATTATGTTAGTAAGAATTCAAAAGTATTTCATAAAAATCTATAAAACCAATTTAATTGCTTCTAGAAATCGGAAATGTATATTACCACATAAGTTGCGTTCAGTTTGGGAACTTTGCTGTTGCTGCTGTTGCTGGATAGATGGAGCTAGTTGCTCCAGAATTGGATCGACCAGCGTCGTTGTAGACTCATCTGTGGAGGATGTGGCTGCTGCTGTTGATTGCAATTTGCCAGCAGGATCGTAAATATCATTGCTGTTCTCGCTAATGTCCTCGGAGCAGCAGGCGGCTAGTGTGTCGGTGGATATATTGGATGGCGCCTCCTCGCTGCTGCTGTCGCTGTTCATCGAGAGCAATTTGTCCAGCATGGATTGCCCAGTTGCACTCTGATTGCCGCTCCTCAGAGTGCGCACCGTATCCTCTGTATTGTCATCGTCAGCATCGTTGTCCACATCCACCAGCAGGCCAACGGCTGGTTCACTGCTGCTGGGCTCCTCAGCTGCCGCCGCTGCTGCCGCCGCCGATGTTGGCTGCTGCTCGACAACAGTTTCCAGGACTTCAATGGCTTTTGGCGATGTGCTGTTGTCAATCGCATGTGCCTCGGACTGTATTTGGCTGCTGCCTTGCTCGTTGCGGCCTGCCAACTGCAGCGACGCCGTTGTATCCATGGGCGACACCAGCTCGTCGTCCTCAATGGCTCGCGCACGCTGCAGCGGCAAGCCACTGCGACGCTCCAGCTCTGTGGCCTGCAGGATGAGCGCCTGCACCAGGTACATGGCGCCCTCGTCGCGTATGTTGTTGTTGCTAATGTCAATCAGCTCGATGCTGTGGTTAAAGCGCAGCATATCCGCAATATGTTGGGCATCGGTGCAATCCAAATCGTTGTAGCCCAGCCACAGCTCCTTCAGTATTTTGTTGTGGTACAGCTTGCAGCCTAAAAATGTTAAAGTACAAATCCAAAATCAGAATGTTAGACAACATCTAATTGTAATGTTAATAACAGGCGTTCACATCCTACTAGGAATTGAGAGTTTTAACATTTTTATACCAAATGTTAAATAGTTTTTACTAACAGCTGTTAAGAGTGCTCTGTTAACACAATGCGAAATTCTATTCGAATGTTATTTCCAAAGAAAACTACAATATAATTTTAACAGAGAAGGAATATGTTGATATATTAAATATGTTTTATATTTAAGCTAAGTGAACTTTACCAAGAGTAATCTACAAAATTTGATTAACCTGGTTGCAAATGTTAATTAGAAGTGTTTACGTTTTACTGTAATGTTACATAAATATACGCTAACAAAGGTATATAAAATAGACTCCTTTTAGAGGATAAATTCAAGAATTAATTTAGATTTAGATTAGGAGTTGAGAGTATGAGAATTGAGTATGTTATTGACAGGAATGTTTTCATCACATGGATACAATTGTAACATAATTGTAACAGACATTAAATTTATATTCAAACTAAAATTTTCGAGATTTATCAAACAGACAAATTAATTGGTCAGTCTAGTTATTATGTACTATCAAATTAATGCACACAAAGAGACACACGCACACACAGACACACGAATGCACTCACACTTACAAAAATTGGTGAGTGGAGGTCCTTTGAGGCCGCAATGCTCCAGCTTGAGCGTATGCAGATTGGAGAGACTCAGCGCGGCGCCCAAATTCTCGGCGCCCACCTTTGATATCTGGTTACCCTCGGCATTCAGCAGCTGCAGCTCCTGGCTGCGGCCCACCATATGTGTGCAGAGTCCCCAGCCACGGACCGTCATCTGCTCCTTGTTATACGAGATATCCAATTCATTGGCAGCCTCATAGTACTCAATCATCTGGCAGAGTGCGCTCAGGCAGCTCTCGTTCAACGGGCACTCTGACAAATCGATGGCTTTGTATTGAATCTGTTGGGGTTTTGGTAAAATAAAATAAAATTAAGTAATTGCCTTGCAGATCAACCATGTTGTGCAGCACATACCCGCATGAATATCTCCTCCAGCGGCTCGCAATCATTGGGCGTCAGCTGAATGCCTTTCAGCGATAGCAGCGGCTGCCGGGCCAGGTGCAAATCCAGCGCCTTCAGGTGTTCCATGATGTTCTTCAGCGGCTGTGTATGATGCTTGTAACAGGATTTCACATACAGCTCGGTAATCTCAGCTATGCTAGACACCTGGCAGACTAAATATATAAGACAAGTTATTTTTATTATTATCATATAATTAGATATTTAAAGATATAATATATAGATTAATCTGAGGTGTTGGGCATTATATAAACAGTAGAAAGCCTACGCTAAAATCTACCCAATCTCTTTATTCTTGAAGTAATATTATTCAAATTACTTGAACCAACCAGAGATTGGGAACTCATTGAACATATGTAGCTAAGTGAATTAGGAATATATGAATAATAGAAAATGGAATATGCACAATAAATTTCAATGTTAAATTCTGCTTAAAGCATGAAAATTGCAGTTAATATCAAGAAATATATAACTTTTCACTTATATAAAAATGTCAGATTTCAGAAAGTTTTAAATAGTCAAATATTTCTAATTGTTGAATATAATCAAAATATCTTAAAAGATGAAAAATTGTATCTATATAAGAAACTTTTGAAATTTCGACTTTTTTAAAATAATTCCCCAAGTTTTACCCAAGCTTCTTAACTATTTTAAAATATACTGTAGCATGAGTAAAAAGCATTCATAGCTTTTTAATTACATTTAATAAACGTTATAATTTCTTGGAAAAAATATATAAGTATAATTTTCAATTGCTTGGGAAAAACAAACATAACTGCACAATTTTCTGTTGCCGCACGCGCGCACACGTCATAGCTGGAAGTCTAGTAAAGACATATATATATATTTATATATATATATATATATACATATATATGTATATATTCACGAAGGCAGCTGATCAAAATTCCGCAATTTGTGATCAAAAATACATAAAACAAAGAACATTGTTGAGTCAATAAACTGTTGACTCTTCCGTTTGTCATGCAATGTGACAATTTCAAAGCAACTGCGTCGAAATAGAGATACATAACGAAAATAAACTGCTCGACTAGAGCATACCCTGCAAATGGGAATAACATAGATGGGTAAGGTATAGAAAAGTTAACAAATCATTTAACAGAGACATTTATTCTAATTGAATGTACAAAAAGATGCTTTATAAGTTCCATTATAGTTGAATGTAGCTCATGAACTATAACAAAAAACAGCTCGACTAGAGCACACCCTGTAAAGATGAATAGCACACAAAGATGGTAAGGTATAGAAAAGTTAAGAAATCATTTAACAGAGTCATTTATTTTCGTTGAATATACAAAAAGATGCTCCATAATTGTTGAATGTATCTCATGAGCCCACGCATATGCCCCTTGTGACATGCCTTATAGGGCATTAAGAATCATTTACCATTGTATAAAGTCATTCAAACATTTGTCACAAATAAAACCCATTTACATACAACTTTATACTCTACAAATATGGCAAATAAGACGTAGCTTATGGCGCGTGCGTAACTACCCCACACACCCATCATCATCATCATCATCGTCGTCGTCATCATCAAGATGAGTGCCGTAAGACATAGACAAATTGTCCGCAAATGTCAAAAAAAAAAAAATGAAATTGCGGCATTTCCAAACGAATTTGTGGCCCGACAAATCGTGAACTTGTAATTTGCGACTCGTCTCTGGGGCTGGGGCTGGGGCTGGGTCTACCGGCTGCGACTCGGACAAGTTCCTGTCTATCATTTGGGACGCACTCGGTAGTCAAGTAATTTTCTGTCTAAATTTAGAAACTCTTTTTATGATTACCATATAATTTGACAAGGGGCAATCGACGAAACATCAAAATCACTTTATAGACAAATGTAAATGGTTCGTCTCTTGATATGACGAGCGACTGCACAAGGGTATAACTATAAGTTTATATAGAAAATTGGCCAATGCAAATATGTACTTTGGGGGCGTATCAAATCGTGCTATATATATATATATATAAATCGTCTACATATATTTAATTTAAGCATTTCAGGGCGACAAAGAAACGTAAATTGTGCCAAATGCCAAGTGCATTGAAAGACATAACGACAGAAAGTTTTTAAAAATAGTTTCAGTTCTGTTTCATGAGAAATGTAAACAAATTAATCTATCATTGCATTATCTTTGGCCACAGAGAGCGGCCAATTAAACGATCCATTTTAATTCAATGACAAAATTTGATGCCAACACGCAAAATGATCGCATTTTATATTATTCTGTAATCCCGTGTAAAAGGTATTATGACGAATGAAATGTGTAACGCTTAGAAGACATCTCCGACCCCATAAAGTATATATATATATATATATATATATTCGTGATCAGTATCAGCGATTACATATTGACATGTCTGTCCGTCGATTTGTGTCTGTGAACGCGCTGATCTCAGAGATTTTAAAAGCTAGAGATGTGAAATTTCTTGCAAATTGCTGTGCAGATCGTTTAAAGTAATCGATGCTTGGCCCGATTCTATTAAATCGATTATTCGATTTCAGATAGCCCTGTCCGATCGTATGTGTAAACGCGACAAGTTAGTCAAGAGCTAGAAGTTAAGAGCTGGAGATGTGAAAATTCGAACGCAGCTCTTGATATTTCCAATGCGGATCGATTAAGGTAATCGATACTTGAACCGATTTCAATAAATCGATAATTCGATTAAAAACTGTTAACTTCAGATTTCTTTGTCCGTTCATCTTTTCGTATGTGTAAACCAGACTTGCTATTTAGTATGCAGATCTCTTAAAATTATCGATTCTTACCCCAATTCCATAAAATCGATAAATACCGATAACGATATTCTGCACTTTGAATGTATTCCTGAGCATATAAGTGCAAAGTCCCCAGTTTTAGTATAAACAAATATAGAATATTTTTTGGGACACCTTCCTCAGTAACATTGCATAAAGATCGGACAATAAATACCGAAGCTAATACCAAACGCGTTTACCAAATGAGGATCCAAAAGAACAGCTGCAACGTAATCTTATTATATGTCTTTAAGGTAGGGTATCTGCTAGTCGGGCACTCTCGACTGTTGCACTCTTGTTTTTTATATTTATTTTCGTAAGCTTTTCAAACAAAATATTTTCTTTTGGCAATAATTCAAAAAGTGTCGCATACGTCTCAGTTTTCATAGCTTTTGCCGTACGAGACGGACATCTGCTAAATGATTCATTAGTGGTTCGCATGCTCAGTAAAAACATCAATTTCTCAGAATCATTATTATATATCTACGTATATGTACATATATAGCGTATATAGCGTATATATATTTGTGCTATATACAGCTTTTTTGCGCTGGCAGACAATGTGACGACCGGCTTCCACTTTTCGTGTTTGTGTGTGCTTCAGTTAATTGTAAATAATTTTTCAACTGATAAAATATTTTTCACTGACAGACTCGAGTGCGGCCCGAGACGACTTTTATCAATTACACACAGTTTTAGCTTTTATTGCTTGTTTGTACTTGCGAGTAATTAAATAGTGTGTATCAACAATTTAAATTTTATAAATCACATTAGATGATACATGGACATGAAAACACAATTGTTCACAGTCCAAATAACTTATTAATGATACGCTGAATATCCAAAGGGGAAGGCGGGGGTAAAGCGTTTTGGGATAATATGACATAACTTCTATTTCGGTCTGACTGACCTCAACAAAATGGAGCGCAAACTGGAGTGAAAATCGATATTTATCGATTAAGGGCAACAAATACGTAAATACTTATTTTGGCATCTAAAGCTCTGGAGAAAAACGAAATGAAGAAATTGATATTCATATATCCATTTAAATAAAATGGGCTAAGTTATGAAGAATGTGAATTAAAGTTGACCTGAATATACTTTAAAAGAAGCTATATCTCTTAGATTTCTGGGTAGAGAAGCATTTTATAAAATGTCTGACGGACGGACAATTATACAAACATGTCTAGCTTGACGTTCCCACAATGCTGATCAGGCCTAACAAATTGCATCATCCAATATTACATAATACTCGAGTTATTATTACGAACCACTTTTGAAAAACATGTAAAGAAGAGAGCTTCTTATAAAACTCTTTTTAATATTTCAGAATGGAGAACTTTTTTCTTCTCTTCTTATAAAACGCTTTTTAATATTTCAGAATGGAGAACTTTTTTCTTCTCTTCTTATAAAACTCTTTTTTAATATTTCAGTATGGAGAACTTTTTTCTTCTCTTCTTATAAAACTCTTTTTTAATATTTCAGTATGGAGAACTTATTTCTATGCAAGCAGCATACGAGTATAAGACTTTGAACATCCTCATACAGTTAGATATAGTAATAAGCTATCTGGTAACTAAGTAATCCCATGCAATCTATAGGCAATCCACAGTTCTAGACTCTGAATATGCTCGTACAATTATAATAGATAAAGTAATAAGCTATCTGGTAACTGAGTAATCCCAGGTAATCTATAAAGAACATAGACTAGAATCTAGAATCTAGACTCTGAACATACTCATCATCCAATTTATAATCCCAACGTATTCCAATCTATAACTAATCTCTAATCAGCATAACTAATCTATAATAAGTGCTTAGTTCTGATCCAGGAAAGTGTTTTTGATTATCTACATATCTATATCTTAAAACAATATATAAATCCTTAGTTCTGATCCAGTTAAGTGTTGTCGTACTTTGGCCCACGTTCAGTATACCCCTTGGGCACACACCCAAGAATGCAGAGTATAAACAAAAAGTGGGCCTACGAGTACGAAAATAGCGAGTAAAAGAAATTTGCGCAAACAAAATATGAAAAACGAGATGAAAGCAAATTTGACGATCGCCAAGGTAAATCATAAACAACTTTAGAATGTAAATAAACAAGGAGAAAACCAAAAAACCAAAAAAAAAAAAAACCGAAATGAAACCAGAAACACAATTTCAATTTGAAGTCTACAAACAGAATTTTTATATATTTCTTTTCAATTTTTTTTTTTTTTTTGTGGCCCCCTTATCTCATTCACAGCGATAAAAAACATTTTGTTTACTTGAATTAAAATAAAAAAATAAAGCAGCAGCATTTGAAAAGAAAATAATACGGATATCTTAATCAAAAGTAGCCAAGTTTTTGGCATGTTTTTTTGCTGCATTGTGTTAATTAGTCAGCTCATATTATTTGGACTGCGTATAGCTGATAAATGTCAGCTAAATTATTGTTGTTTTCACAATGTATAAATAAATAATACTTAAATGCTCATTTCTATTTTAATAGCATATCTATTTTTTGCACAATTTGTGGACCGCCAAAAATATATCTCAAATTGTTTGGTTATATATATATATTTGTTTTATTATGCTCCATAAGGCTTGCCATAAAGGCGACCTCATGGCAATCACATGATAGATTTTAACATGCAGATCCCTATGCTCCAAGCAGCTGTTAAGGAATCCAATGATTCAATTATCGATCGACAGCGAATTAGCTCATCCATCGGTTAAAACTAAGAAAATATAACGCGTGCCTGCAGGCAGCTGTTATATAAGTGTGTGTGTGTGTGTATTGTATACGTGTGTGTGTGTGCGTGTGTGTTGTGTATGGCAATTGGCGCATGAAATGCTTTTCAATTTTTTATTATTCTATTGATTTTTATGCGTTATCGACAGGCGTCGCCTTCGCGAAGGGGGGCAAAAGAAACAGCAAAAACAACAAAAGGCAAGGCACGCTAAAAGCCAAAACAAAAAGGCGAGCGAAAAAATGGTTCAATTAAATTGCTGTTAATTTTCTGCTAAACATTTACAATGTCGGCAATTCGAGCGAATGTATCTCGAAACTTGTTCTCGACGTTTGCCATTTATTGAATTTTGTTGAATTTTTTTTTCTTTCTGTTTTTTCTGTTTTTTTTTTTTCTGTGTTGGCAACAGCCTTCGCCAAAAACAAAATGAAAGCCAAAGCGCAGACTGAGAGACAAATGACCGTACAAAGTGTAGATAGAAAGAACCACTAAAAAAAAAACAGAAAATAAATAAAAATAAAAAATTGGCATCAAGTCGATAATTTATTTAGTCGGAAAGCCTAGCCAGATGAGCATGTCAATGAAAAGTCATTAAAACGTGCATAAATCCGTTTAGATCATTATAAAAACTCCTAAATTTCATATTAAAAATTGCACCAAATTTGTTTATCAGTGACGTTTTTGGGGCGACAAAACAAATAAATAAATAAAAAATAAATTTTAAAAATGTTAAGCTTTTCGAGTTTCAATTCCAGTGTTTCAAAAAAAAAAGTTAATTAAATCAATTTTAAAAGTTTTAAATTGCGAATAATTTGAGGATTTCGTGTTTCAATTCCAGTGTTTCATAATATAAATAAATATGCAAATAAATATATAAGTAAATATATCAAATAATAAATATATAAAACAAATGTCGAAAAGTGTTGAAATTTTTGTGTTTCAATTCCAAAGTTTTGAAAAACATAAGTTAAACAAAGAAATTTCAGAAGCATTCAATTTCGAAAAATGTTGAGATTTTCGTGTTTCAATTCCAAAATTCCGCACCTTTGTAGCAAGGCTACAAACTGGTTTTATATTGAACTAGTTCGAGTTCGCAATTCCAATTTATTTTGAACTATGAACCGAACCATAATCCAAACCAGTTACCCAATAAACAAAAGAACCGAATCGAAAACTAAGCCGCATTTTGTGCCATTACATTTACCGAACTATATTTAGTAAAAGATCAGACTATTCTCGGGTATATTTTGGAAAGGTAATTTTAATTGGTATTTTTGAGTAGCTGAAAATGGAGTTGAAAAATTAAAAATATTGTACGCTCATTGGTTAAACGTCAAATGAGTTACGGGAACCTTGCTTCAAAGCTGATGTTAAGATCAAAATTACATTTTTTAATATTATTATCATTAAAAACATTAGATACATTTGCAAGATGTTCAGTCGTGCTAAACACAATATTGGGTTTCGTTTTTATGCATAGGTAATGCGATTTTAGATTTCAAAACAAACTCTATAAAAAACAATTCTTATCGCGCCGCTTTCTTTCTACGCAAGCAGGTAATCAGCTTGGCGATAGACGACAAATTAAGTGCCTGACATGGTTTATCATTGTTCAAGACCAAATTCTGGGACAATACCCAAAAAAAAAGATGAGAAAAACCCAATGATATACGACCGGTTCAAGAGCACTTAAGTCGAGCGCAGAAGAGTAATGGGGAATTATGTATTTGATAAAATAGATTCCAACATTTATTTACACACATTATTTATGTGCGTGGAATTGTTTCCGCAACAGCAACAAGTGACATTTAAGCTAAATGCAAAGATTAGCATTAATATTTATTTTTCTGTTTTCTTTCTGTTATTTTTGTGTTTGTGTTTGTTTTGTTCTTTGTTGATTTGCTTTATGCTCGTTTTCCTTGCTTTGCTTTAGTTTGCCTTTCTTTGCTGGAATTGCATTAATTAATTACATCGAAATGTGCATTAATTGAGCTCGTGACATTTTTATCATCTTTCATTAGTACTTTAAGTGCTACACAAACTTATAAATATATATATACATATATATATATCATATATACAATAAATATGTACATACATTAAAGCGCATTAAAGTTTCTTCAGCAAACTGCTGAAAATGCAATTCTAGTAAAAATTCAATAAAAAGTTTGCATTAATATTAAAGATATAAAATAATAATTGTCTGTTAAAATGGAAAGGTCGCCAAATACAACATGAAATATAATAATAATATTTAAAATTTAATATAATAATATTTTAAAAAATGCATATATTTAAATTAAAAAAAGAGTTACAGAAAAACGGAATTCAATTTTTTTATCACTTTTGATTACTTTTGCTGACGTTTTCAGTTCATCTTTTAGACATGAAATATATGATCTACTATTCTAAAATCTTTCTTTTAATAGCAATAAACTACTCATAGATATTTTAACTATAATTTTAGTGCTAATTGGAAGCTCATATAAAAATATATTAAACAAAATCTCGAGTAAATAATTAAGGGAAAACCCAAGAGCTGCTTAGGTTTATATAAAAAATATCAAAGAAAGTTTTACAATGATACATTTATTTATTTTAAGTATATTTATAAAATTTTATGAAAAAAACTCAATTTAGAATCATAATGCTTAAAAACATCTTAAAATGAACGAACGGACAAAAAAGTTGTTACTTGTATTTCCTTATGTGTATTAAAAACATACGTGCCTCCGAATCAAAGTAAATATATGTATCTCATTTAATAAATGTATCTCATTTCTCATCTCATTAATCGAATCTTTTATCCTATTATCCCTCACTATATCAAGTACTTTTCCCAATTAAAAGGCATTCAAAATGCTTAAGCACGTAAATGCAACATTTGATTTTAGTATTAAGCAATGCAAATGTTTGCAAATAAGTATATAGAGTTTCAAATATTCATAAGGTAAATTTGCATATAGTCTGACTCTCTTTTATTTTTTTTCGTAAAGTGACAACGATGACATCACATGCGACGAGTTATTACACCTACAAAAGGGGAAGAAGTAAAACAACAACAACAACAACAACAAAACTACAGCAAATCTAGCAAGATATAAACAAAGACAAGCGACGACGAATTAAAGCAAACAATAAGAGACAGTGTGTGTGTATATAGACATATAAGACACAAGTATTTACACTCCAACTTATATACGTAAGTACAACTGGAAACAAACACGTTGAACAAATCGTAATCGTTCCAACAATTTATATAGCATTTGCGGTGAGAAAACAGATAGCAGACAAATGGCAGACAAAATGCGAGCCTACAAATGGAGCCGGTAAAAAACAAAAGGCAAAAAAGGCAACAACAACAATTTAACGGAGAACGAGAGAAGAGACACGCAAGAAAATGGAGAGCTTTACGAACTGAGCGCAAATCTAAACCGTAACCGATCCGAGCCCAAAACCCGAGTCGTTCGAATTGCACGAATCGTCGAATTCGTATCTTATCAGTGATTCTGCTGTTGTCTTTATCGCTGGCAAGGAAAAAAAAACATATACGCATACGAGTAGAACGAATAATAAAATCAAAGGCAACCAATAAGAAAAAAAAACTATTAGCCAATCACTCATGACAATAAAAAAACAAAACGGTGACAAAACCTAAACGGATATTGTTTAAATAAGGTATACCAGATAAATACGTAGAGTGTTAGATTGCGAACATTGTAGTATTTATAGATTCAAGATTGTATATCCAGAAGTTAAAATCGATCAAAATCCTATTACAATTAAAATAAATATCAAGTAGAGCATTAATATAATTAAAACTGATTTTATTGTTGGGAAACAAACCCTTTCTTGATGTTTAAACATCAGAAAATATGTTATGCGGGCACTTGGCATAATATTAAATGAAACTTAATAAAATTATAACTCCTTCGTAACCGCTGCGGTTAGTTAGTCAAAAACTAAATCAAACTAGGGAATCCCCATGAATCATATGTACATAAAACCATATAGAAATGCAAGGAAAAGAATCAATCTACCCTAATGCATTGGTACTCACACCTTTGTATGCACGTGTGCACACATAAGCACACAGATGCATGCACACATATTATAAAAATTGCAAAACTGCAAAAAGTTGGCAACGTCGTCGCCCCACTCAATTGTCAACTGTCAACAATTCGCACTATGATTGAATCGTGTGCGCATCGCTCGCACTGGAGAAGGAAGAAAGAGAACGCGCACAAGAAACGTCAAAAATGCATTGCGCTTGGCAACAAACGTCATTATCGTCATTTATTGCGTTCCGTTATTTCGAGTGCAGCGCCATTCAGACGTTCACTCACATAAATATTTGTGCGCACTTCATTGAATTGGCTTTTTTTCTTTGATTCTTTTTTGATTTGGCAGCTACCCACCCACACACACGTTCTTGCCGCCCCGTGTTTCTTCTTTCTTTCTCTTTCCCTCTCACTTTGCATCTGCCAGCACACTTGCCGGCTGCATGATCAACCGTTCGTTTTGCTTGATTGGTTATTTGAGTCCTTTTCGCACTGCACGCGAATTGCCGTTGTCGTTGCTGTTGTTGTAGTAGTTGTTTTTCTTCTTCTTGTTGTTGTTGCTTTTGTTGTTCTTTTTGCTTTAGCTGTTGTTGTTCTTGTTATGGTTTTTATGTTTGCTTTAACGTTTCTCTTAGTTTTTCAATGCATTTCAATTTGCGCAAGCAAATTAATCTGTTTAATTGAAATAAATCACAGGAAGTGCAATTTACGACATGTGTCTCAAGTTTTACTTCCGTGTTTGCACGAGTTCCCGAATAATAAGAAGTATGCCGATATCTGAGGCATAGTCCATATATCTAGGAAAATTGACTACCGGATCACGTATTACTGCACGCGTATATATGTAAATATATCGAAAACAAAGTAATCGAAACATAGACCTATACAATAATTTGTTAACTATATAATATTAGTTAGCATTGGCCCAAAGTTCTAGGATGTGTATGTATATATCCTTATTAACAAAGTGTAACTCTAAGAAATTAGTATTCCTTTAGTTATTGTAACGTGTGTCACGGTATGTATCATATTATAGCTTTTGCTTTAAGCATTAATTTTGTTGCAAATAATTTAAAAAAAAAAAATCTATTCATTGAAATGAAAGACTGTTTATATACTTTTGTGAAATTCAAAATTAGTGTAGTCAAATTTATCAAAGACAAAAAACTAAAGTGTATGCATTTCTGTGATGCCAGATCGCCACAATTGCATTTTGAATATTCGACGAGGCTAAAAAAAAATGATTGTCTTTTAACATAATATTGCACCCTTGTAGGCTAATAAGTATGGAAATTGATTTTAATTAATTCGAATCTACAATTTTTCAACTATTCCATAATCATAATCATCATATATATAATTGCTACTGATTGGCATACAGTTTTCTTGTAGATGACTTACCTTTTTCCCATGGATTGGCCGGCTCAAGATATCCGGTGACAAGCTCCTTATCACTTTCCGGGAATGAGACGCGACGCGGCATCGTTGCTGCATTGAATGAGCTGTCCGAGAATTTGCGCTGCAATAGACTGGGCGCTGTCGAGTAGCCGCTGTGGGCTCTGCTGGTGGCCATAGTTTCGGTCGATCCCGCGTCGCTTCGGTTTGAGCTCGAATTGGAAGCGAGCGAATCGGTTCTCCATACTGCGCTCTGTTTGGCGCCGTGATAAATTCTTATTTTCTGTTGTTGCTGCGTACGCATCTGAACATCGAATGCTGCTGGCTCTGGCTCTGCCTCAGGCTGGTGCTCGCTGGCACAGCTCGCGGCAGAGGTAGCGGCAGCGGCAGAGGTAGCGGCAGCGGCAGCGACAGCGACATCAGCTGTTGTCGCTAATTCAGTGTGCTCTGCCGCAGCTGACAGCGGCAATGGCGTCGGTGTATTGTTGGCTGTCACTGTCATTGTTGTTTCTGTTGCTTGACCCTCAGCAGCTGCTGCTGCGACGACGACAGCAGCGGCGGCGGCGGCAGCAGCTACAACAACCGCAGTGACTGTTTCTTGTTCCGTGGCAACAGCCGCCGCTGATGTTGTTGTTGCTGTTGTTGTTGGTTCTATTGTTGCCGTCGCATTTGCAAGGTGCGTTGAAATTGTTGGCTCCGTTCCATTGCCAGTTGTTTCTGCCGGGGCCATAATTGTTGTACTTGTTGTTGTTGTTGTTGGTGTTGATGTTACAGTTGGCGCGGCATTTTCATCAATTTTATGCAACATGGTAACTCGACTATAATTTGTTTCCTTTTTTTCTCAATCAATTTGTTACAATCGTTTGTTTATATTTATTAGTTTTTTTTTATTTGCACACGCACATTAATTCATTTACACTCCTTTTTGTAGCTTTTTACAAAAACTTGTTTGCGCCTCTTTGCGTGTGGCATTTACATTTTTTCGGCGATTTCAAATGCAATGGCTCAACAAATCAAATTTAGACTAAATGTGTAAGTATGTGTATATGTGTATATGGTTTGGTCTACACTGCGAATAAAAACTTAATAAGACTTTATATACATTCAATTTGATATCATACAAATTTTACTTCTAATCAGAACATTACAAGCACGAAAATTTTCCTCTCTAAAACACACAAAACTTTCCATGTAAAAACTGTTTCAAAACAAAAGTCAAACAAAAAAAAAAACATCAGCGGCATTGAAATGAGCGCGCGCGTTGCTCTCTCGCTCTCGCGTATCGCCTCTCGCAACTGAACGAAAAGACGACGCAAAAGAGAATGGCGTAAAAACATTACCTAATTGTTGTTATTGTTTTTGTTTTGTTGCTTTTGTTTGATATTTGCGAGAAAAATGGTTTGCTCAGTGGGGAGCAGTGGCGGCGGTTGCGTTGGTAAGTTCGACAGCTCCGCCGCTATTTTGTTATGTTTTTCCTTCATTAATTCCATGCCATTGTCGTTGTTATTGTTGATATCGTTTTCCCCATGCACATTTTGTATTTTTGTTTACCACACCACAGCTTGCCTTTCTCTCTTGGGACGTTCGTTGTGTGTGCTTCTGTGTGTGTATATATGTGTGTGAGTGTGTGCGAATAACACGCGCCCTGTTGCATGCAAAATTCAAATTAAAAGGCAATTGCAATTGGTAATTACAAACTGTCAAGAGGGACGTACAAATGCACACGCTCCTGTTTTATTTTTATTTTTCGTTTTTTGGCAATTTGCTTTCAGTATTTGTTTAGAATAAATATAAATTACGTCACATTCTATATCGCTCCCTCACTCACTCCTCTCTCTTTCGTTGGAGAGTGAACTTTTGAAAAAACACTTTTTGTTGTTGGCATTTGTATGCGAACAAAGGATTTTATTTCATTTAACTTTTTTTCAGCGCATAGAATTTATGCCAGATTTTTTTAATTTTTATTTTTATTTTGTTGTTGCTTTTACATTGGAGTTGACTTTTGCATTGCTTTGGCGTGCATTTGGTTTGGGCGCTGTGCGTTTCGTTGTTTCACAGGCCCATGTTATTGTTTTTAGTTACACTTTGGCATTTGGTTGATTTTACTTTGCGCAGTTTTAACACAGATATAAATATGTATTTTTTATTGGCGCATTCTTTTGCACATATTTTGATTTGTTACACAATATACATTTCATTCGAAGGGTGGTACGTTAAAGGAAAATAAAACGTACACAGTAACTGAATCGCATCCGAGCAACAACCAACAACAACCGATCACAAAGACGTTTAAAATGCAAAAGGTAGGAATCGAAAATAATGAGCAGTAGCAAGCAGCAGCAGCAGGAACACGCACTGCTACTGGTCTCTCTCTCTCTCTCTCCCTAGCTGATAGTGATGCGCGTTGCAAATCACGAGAAAATTAGTACTTTTTAATAAAGCTGATATAGCTAAAATTTGCTAAAACTTAATAAATAGCAAAACAACGAGCACGCGACTCAAATACATTTAGTGCGTATACCGTTATTCGAAAACGACTTAAAAATTATAATTATATTTTGTCGACCAAATATATGTCACGACGAGAACACGACACGCGCACAGAGCTAATTTTGACAGCGCGCACAGCGTTGCCAGAATGGTAAAAGCGCAATTTCGCTTCTTATCACAGCTAATATTGCACCGAATTATGTACTAAAATTTGTTTTTATTTAATATTGAATTCTTTGTTACTTGGTAATATCCTTCGATTGATATTTTACACTATTCACTAGTAAAACTAACTCACGACTTCGAAATCGCACATCTGGCAGCGCACTAAATGTCGCGCTCTTTTTACGCAGCTCCCCTCCCAACAATAGAATTTAATGCACATAAAAACGAAAATAACATAACTGCCTAAATTGACATTTCGCTCGTCAAATACACTTGCGCGAATATTAACAACCCATTTTCGGTCATTTTTGAAGGCAACAAACTCTCTGCTGCTCTCTTTTAAGAACTACCACACAACAACACAAAATATTAAAAGTATAGACAAAAACCTTTTTGTTGGCTTGTGTCCTTTATTATTTGTTTAACTGTCGCGGGAACATTGAAGCGCGTTCACATTTTTGCACATTAGGGTTACTAAAAACAGACTAAAGCGTTTAAAATGTAGCTATTGCCAGAGACTTTGCAGTGTGACCGCAGCCAGTCAATGATAAAATACACACCACATTATTTACAATTACACTAAGATACCAGAATTTTAATATTTCTACAAAGATTAATAAAATTGACAGTTGTGTGGTAATTGACACAACATTGATTTACATCGAGAAAATGACTGTAATTGCGAGCAACCTTAGGATTTATTCAGTATATATAAATCTATCGATAAGTCGATTTGTTTTAGAAATGTGGCAGCACCGACAAGCAGCTGTTGTGACGAAAAGCCAACTCAGCTAATGTGAAGAAATTTTTAATACACAAAAAAAATTTCGCACACAAACTGTATTGTTACTATAGCCGTGGTTTAGTTTAATTCGATTGTAAACAGTGCCACAAATAAAGACAATGCAAAATGCGGCCAACAAACGCAAAAGCCCCAACCAATACGCCGTGGAGTGATTTCGCCATATACCTGACCATAACACTAACACTTTCCCTTTCATGTCTTCCGACGACGTGGGCTTTGTCCGACAAAAGACTGTGCGCTGACGAAAAATGTGAACGTAAGTATTGCGAGCAATGCGGTAACACAATTACCGGGATAAAAATGCAAACTAAAGCTTTAGATTAACCCTGACCCTATTTCTGGCTGCGATAAGAAACCACATTTCATAATACTTTGATTTATTTATTGTTTTTTTCCCCAACCTTTCGCAGAGATCATCTCTTTCGGTACTGCTAAAATCAGCTATGCGGCTGGAGAAGATGGCATGCTGCCCTTTAAGATTCATTCGCCAGTGCGTATATTATCCAAGAGCGCTGGCAACAATCCGAAGCTGTGGGGCGTGGAGATCAATGGACGTCGCGGCTATGCCAACAAGGATTTTATCATGGAGAAGAGAATTATGATTAAAGAAAAAGATCTCAAGCATGAAGTGCCAGTTGTTTGGCCACCCAACCCGGCAACAGCTGCTGCACCAGCAACAGCTCCCATTGCGAATAGTCCAGCTCAAGACCCACAAGTGCCGCTGGAGCAGGCGCAAGCGCAAGCTGTGCTCAATGCCTCCGAAACAGTCGATGATATAGCAACAACAACCACCTCGCCGCTGGACACACTCAAGCTGGCCATACTCACTGAGCAGGAGCAAACCAGCAGCAGTGAAGCACCATCTCCAATAACACCTGTACAGCCCAATCTTCAGCTGGTCGATGGCACGGAATTGCCGCTGGAGGCTGTGGCCGCTGTTACAGAACGAACTCAGAACCTTTCCCAGGCAGACGCCAAAAACAATGCTGAGCTCGAGGGCAAAACGAAAAGCAATGACACATTCGATTACGCAGCGGATGACGAGGAAATTTACGACGAAGAAGAAGACGACGACGATGTCGAGGAAACACTTGATAGCCAAGTCAACGATATACAAAACGAAACAAAAGCCGATAACAAAGCAAATGCTGCAGCCGCTCAAGTGGCCAAAACATCTGAGCCAGAGGCAACACAGCCAACAGCAGCAGCAACAGCGGACGCTCAACAAACGAATGCCACAAACGAAGATAAGGAAAAGCAAGCAGCCGTAGCTGGCACTCCGTCACAAACAGCTACAAGTAATGACAGCCAAGTCGTTGAAGCCCAGCCGGACGTCATTCCTAAGGCAACTCCAGCTTTGCTGCTTATAGAAACGCGCAATGTCAGCGCTGTGCCCGCCGAGGAGCAACTGCAGCTGGAGGCAAAGCCACAAACAGAAGCAGCTGTAGGTGCAACAGAATCTGAGCACCTTGCACCAGGCTTAGAACCTGCACTCAATGCTACAAAAAATGATGCAGAGCTGCCCAAAGAGGAAACGAAAGCTCAGCTGTTGTCGGATCTAGTCGCAGAGCCCAAGGCTAAAGAAGCAACCGCAGCGGAGACTGTGCCAAGTCAGGCGATAAGCGAGCAGATTGAAAAGGAAAACGAAGTAAAAGAAGCTAGCTCCAAGCCAACAACAGAGACAGCAGCAGAAGAAGCCAGCAAGGCACAAGTTGAAGGGGCAGTAAAGGTGCAGCCGGATCCAATTGTAGCAGAGCCAACACAAGCGCCGAAAGCAGCGCAGCCAAATGAAACAGAATCCGTTAAGGTGCAAACCGAAGCTCCAGTTGCAGCCAATGTCGAGAAACCAAGTGTGCCAAGCGAAGCACAGACAGCAGCTGTAGTCGATGCAGCTCAACAGGAAGCGCAGGCAAAGGTAGAGGAAGCACAGACAGTCAATGATGCGGCTAGCTCAACGGCCACGCCCACTGAGGACTTGATTGTGCCGGCCAGCTTGCCTCCATTGTTCAAAAAGCAGCATTTCCAGCATAATCCAAATGAATACTACAAACAGCTGCAGGAACAGCAGCAGCAGCAACAGCAGGAGCAAAAACAAAAGGAGCAGCAGCAGGACCAGCAACAACATCCGGAGCAACAACAGCTGCAGGAACAGCAGAAGCAGCAGCAGGAAGAGCTGCTGGAACATCAAAAGCAGCAGCAGGAAGAGCAACAGCAGAAGGAGAAGCAACAGCAACAAGAGCTGCAGGAACAGCAGAAGCAGCAGCAGGAAGAGCTGCTGGAACAGCAGAAGCAGCAGCAGGAAGAGCAACAGCAAAAGGAGAAACAGCAACAGGAGGAGCAGCTGCGACAACAACTGCTGGAAAGGCAGAAGCAGGAGGAGCAGCACCTACAACAGATGCTGAAACGGCAGAAGCAGGAGGAGCAACAACAAAAGGAGAAGCTGCAGGAGGAGCAACAGCAAAAGGAGAAGCTGCAGGAGGAGCAGCAGCAAAAGGAGAAGCTACAGGAGCTGCATCAGCCCAGCGATACACAACAGCAACTGGCCGGGAATGCGGTGCCGCACACCACGCCCACTCCATCCGCATTTGATGCATATGATGCAGTTCACCAGGCAGAGCCAACGCCTGCGCCACCAGCACGCGGCGTAGTCGAGCAAATCAACGCTGCCGACGCCGTGGAGCCAACTGGATTGCCAACGGAAGCGCTCAAAGAAGATGCCGGTCTGGGACTGGGACTGGGACTCTTTGGCACCATTTTGGACACTGTCAACTCGTTCATATCCAATCAAGATCACAAGGAACCAAAAACTGAGCCGCTTACAGGCAACGATGAGCTGCATCGTTTGCTCTATTCAGGCGCGGCTATTCCGCAAGGTAAGTCTGCGATTTACTAAATATAATTATAGTATAATTAATTAAAATATAATTAGTATTATAGGTGACCATAATCATTTACTTGAGTAGAACTCCAATAACTAGCTAGGATTTATTGACAAAGTAGAAGCTAGAAAATGAGGAGTCTTTTTTGTGCTATCTTCAAAATTGAATCGGATCACAATATCGTCCAACTTCCATAGAAACAATTCTAGTATTAGAAAACTTATTTTCCTAAGGAAGTGCTCAGGAAAACAAGAAAGAAACATTTTCTTCGGAGCTCCTCCTAATATTAAATGCCTTTTAGAAGTTTTCTCGTAAATGGAATCAACTTTGGGGCTAAGCTTATATAAGAAAACCTCTAAAAGGTATTAGATATTAGAAGGATATATACTCCGATATTGAGAAGGGCTAAAAACCGAACAAGTTCAAATTTTTGCTTGACTATGAAGCTCGAATTAAATTTAAAAACCTAATCGAAGCGCAAGTCGCATTACCAAAGCTAAAATTTCTTTGGCCCCAACAATTGGATTCATCTTACCATGTTTGGTGGACGCCAATTTTGGGTGGAGATCAAATTTAGCCCGCAAATTGTATGTGAAAATATTTAGGTTATGCAATATTTTCTGTACAACGGGCAATCGTAAAAAAGAAATATAATTCTTTCATTAAAATTGTTTAAAATAAATGACCAACTAAGTTTAGGTGCAGGAATATGGAAAACAATTTTGCGAACCGAAACCAAAGGCAGAGAATTAATTTTGTTGGCCCTGCTTCTAACCTATAGATAAAATCCCTTGTAAATTGTCAATTTCTGATTAATATTAATTAAAATTCTTAAATCTAATCAAATTTATTTGTATGCCCACAGCTGATGCTCATGGCGAGGGTTATTGCACGCGGCCTTTGGATGGCAACTGCCATGCTGCGATTACCCTGGACAATTTCGTGGAGGTGTTGGCTGCGAAGCTGTTGGAGCATAGCCTGTTGTTGCTTTGCGTGGTCATTGCGGCTGCCTCGTCGCTGTTCTTTATATTCACCTACTATTGCTTCTGCAACAGCAGCCAGGAAGGTGCTCTGCTCGCCAAGCTGAATCATCTGGAGCGCAGTCTGCTGGCCGCGCACAAGGAGAACCTGATAATCAAGCACGAGCTGATGACAACACGCACGAAGCTCTCGAGCATTGAGGATAACTCCTTTGGCTCCAACGACATGGTTGTCGCGCTGAAGAAACAACTCGAGACGGAGCTCTATGAGAAGGCCAAGCTGCAGGAGCAGGTTAGCTCCCTGGAAAAGGTGAGCCAAAGGAAAAAATATAGAAAATTAATGCTAAAATTATATTTCTTTATGCATCACACAGGATTTGGACAATGCCGCCGAAGCGGGCTTGGAGCTGAACAAAATGTTGTCCGAGGTGTTGAACAGCCAGAATGGCGATGAGGCATTCATGAGCACCGTTGACGAGCTGCAACGCCAGCTCAACGATCAGGAAAGTGAGTTGATAGCATCTTGACAGCCTGTAGAAACAAGTGATCCATTTTCCCTGTCTATTTCTCGCAGAGATCATCATTGACATCAACGCAAGTCTGGCGGAGAAGAGTCGCGAGAATAGCGAGCTGCAATATTCCTATACGGAGTCGACAACGCGCTTAACCAGCGAAATGAAGTCGCTGCAGCAGGATAACTACGAGCTGGAAATGGACAAATCAAAGCTGCAGACGCGCCTTGAGGAAATCCAAGCGGAGTCCGAACAGGAGCTAGCCAAGGCTCTAGAGGCGCGCAACTATGAAATGCAGCGGCTGCAGCATCAGATCATGGAACTGAATGCCAAATACGACAAAGAGCACAGCGAACTGCAGACCAGCTTAGCCAAAATCGAGGCGCTCGAAGATTGCCTAAAGGCGATCAAGAAGGACGGCAATACCAAAATCCAGGATCTAATTACATCAGCGAAGACACGCGGCGAACTGAATGCAGCGCAGAAAAAGTTTATGTCGCTGCAAACGAAGCTGGAACAGGAACTGGCCAATAAGGCGCGTCTCGAGAGTCAGCTGCAGGCATCCAGCGCGGACGTCGAACAGCTTAAGCAGGACTTCAATCAGTCCGAACGCGACAAACTCGAGGCGCAAACGCGTCTCGAAGTACTCTCCGGCTATTTCCGTGAAAAGGAAACGCAGCTGCAAAAGTGGGTTACCTAAAATTAACACTAGCTTTTCATAGGGGTAGATTTTTCCAAAGACTGTGTATCTATTTCTTTTAGAAGAGTATTTATAGAAAATGTTTATCAAATGCCTTTTTGCAATAATTTTCCACCCCTTGTGTTCTGAAGCCCCATTTTCTTCTGTAAAAGTCTAGCTTCCTAGTAATGCATATCCATAAATTGTATTGTTTTATAAACACTTTATTATAATAGAATACCCTTACCTGTTTCAGAGAGCTCAGCTTGCAGGAGGCCAAGTGGCTGCAGCACCAGGGCGAGAATGCCAGCACTGTGGAGACGCAAACGCTGATGAAGAATGAAATTCAGATGCTGAAGTAAGTAAAATATATTTAGTTTATATCCATATTTGACCATATTTACTCTCCTAGATCTCAAAACGACGAGCTGCGCGCCGAGATTGAGGCACAGATTGCCTCGCACAAGGCACAGATGGGCACGCTGGAGAATCGTGCGCACGAGTCTTGGCTGGCGGCGCGTCAATCCGAGCGACGCTGCGAGGAGGCGCAGGCCGAAGCCGCCGGCCTGCGGCGCAAGCTGACGGCCATGGCCAGTGGATCGGGCGATGTGTCGCTGGATGCGCTGCCCTCCAACGGAGGCATCTTGGGCGCGGGCGAACTGACGACCACGCCGTCGCCGTTGCCATTGCCCGGCTCGCCTGGACTGTTGAGCATGCCCAATCCACTGCCATTCCTACCGGCGCCGTTCACGCCGTTTATGGGGCTGCCGCCGCCATTTTTGCCACCATCAGTAGCTGCCGGCGGTGCGCGCCCACCGCCGCTGGGCCGCATGCGTTCGCCGCCGCCGACTTCGTCGTCGCGCGATCGTTACTCACCGCATCGCGATGACCGCGACGACTACAGCGACTATGATGACTACGACGACGATGATGATGACGAACGCGGCATGGACCGGCACAGGCGACACAGCGGCAGCTGGGGCCGTCGCGGCTCCTATATGCATTCGCCGCGCACATATCGTTCTCTGTCGCCATCGGACAGCCGCTACAATTATAACGAAACGGAAACGGACTTTAGTCCGCCGCCGAGCCCGCCACCCCCGCGTAAGAGCTCGCGACCCATCAGCGAAGTATGAAATGCGGCACTGTGTACTTTACAGAAAAGAAAAAAAAGGACACCAACATCCTAAAATATTATGTACGAGTAGTTGCAGAAACTCAAAACTAGTTCAAATCTATGTATATTTATTACTGATCATCGGGTTAACTACGACTAAGTGCGACTCACATACTTATATACACACACAATTCCCATAATACGAATTTGAGGCATTTTCAAAATAAAAACATCAGCAATTTTGGTGGCTCAATGGTAAATGATATCAAATGGAAAACTAAAATAAACCAAACATTCAAAACACCAAAATATACGCGTTATTATTTAAAGGGCTGAAGGGGAAATCAAAACCTCCTTTTAATTAAATGAAGCAAATTTATTTGCGGTCAATTCTTAAGTTCAGTTTTCTTATCCTCCCGGCAAAGTTCATGGTAGTTGCCATGGGCTTAACAGTTTTTATAAATATGTGGCAACACCAAGTCGACGAAAAGCTCTTGTACATCCCATGTCAAATATATACAATGCAGATTAACTACCTGGTACGTTTTAACAGGCAGATTAGCAGAGAATAGCATGAGAAATAGAGTTTCACAATACACGAAAATTGTTTTTAGACTGGGGCTCAAAATTTAAACTAGAAGATTTAAGCTAGAAGATAAACTGTGCCCAAGTCTGCATCTTTAGGTCCTATCATGAGAATCGCATAGTGAGGCGTTAATTAATTTTTTAAATATTTAACATTTTCAAGGACAGCTTTTATAGAGGTTAAATTGTCTATTCGGCTCCAAATGCACTACCCTACCATGCACTATGTTAAGTAGAGCAATTAAATAATATCGCCGGGTAAACATAAGATTAACAAACGATAAGATTAGCAGGGCATTGCTCGTAAACGGAAATCGGAAAATAAAATTCATTTTGTAATGCGCAGTCGTAAAGTGAATTGTCTATAAAATTGCCGATAATCCGGTTTAATCGATTTCCAATTTTCGAAAAGAACCGACTGCACCGAACGAGCTGCATTTATCCAGAACGGGACAGCTAAAATCGCGCAGCTTTTCATCGGTGCCAAAGTGCTGCGATGCCGAGAAATATTGTGCATAGCCGAAAAGCTTCTTTTCCATGGCGTGGCTAATGTCCTCGACTATGCCGTGAGTTCCGCCATATTCCAAGGGCAAATAGTCTCGCGGCACAATATTGAATATGGCATCTGGATCGGAACTCACCGAAATCTGCATTAAAACAAAACAAATTGCCGGAATAATTATCGTTCCAGCTCTGGGAATTATGTAGCTGCACTCACCCGACTCTTAATCTTTGCCGGAAAGAAAGATCGCAATGTATTGAAACCCGTCTCAAAGGCCGGGGGCACATTGATGAAATGTATGCCCTTCTGGCGTGTGGGCATAGCCTCATCGGCGTACGCTGAGAATTTACGCAATAGCTCCGGCTGCAGGGCGAACAGATGAGTGCCAGTTACGCCCTTCATGTCCATGATCTCAACGTAACCGGAAACAGTTGCGTTTTCATCCTCGAACATCATGATCTCCCCGAACATGGAACCAACGCGTATAATATCCTGAAATTTATATTTGCTGGTATCATAGGAGCCGGCGCGTATGATGGACACGCAGGGTCCAGTATCTTCCTCGTCTTGCGGTATGCGTAGCAAGATGCTGCAAGAAATAGGCGAAAAAAATATTTAACTCGAACTTTAAACTGAAGCACAGATAATATTTTGGTGTGCAGCCTTTAAACTGAAGCACAGACAATATTTTGGTGTGCAGCCAATAAAATTTAAATTTAATTTAAATTTAAGAAATAGGCAAGAATTTTTATAACAAGTAAAAACATGTAAAAGTAACGTAAATGTTAAAGTGAAGCTGTTAAAGTTAACGCAGCATGCAGCTGTTAAGGATACGCTGTTAAAGTTAACACAGCATACAGCTGTTAAGTGACAATGTTTATGTTAACAACTGTTAAGGTGAGCTGTCAATATTAACACAGCATTCATCTGCTAAGGACACGCTGTTAATGTTAACATAGCATACAACAGATTGTAAAAGTGCTGTAAATTTTCTCTTTTGCAGTTATATTCAATTCGGAGCAATCACTATACCTACCCTGAGCGTATAATATCTAACACCAAGGGATCCGTTGCCAAACGTCGCTCATTGAAGACCTCTGGTATGGATGCTTGCAGCGTATAGAAGCGATCGTATTTCTGTTTGGCACGCTCCAAACTGAATTTGGTGCCGCGCAAAAAGGCCAACAGAAACTGTTGATCGGTGCAGCCCCGCAAATGCGGCTGCTTGAGCACCCAATCCCTCAAGGCCTCAATGTCATCGGCCACCCGATGGGGCACCTCGTTCAGCTCCTGCACGGCAATCGCCTGCAGTGCCGGCTTAAGGGGGCGTATACGTAATGTGCTCATTGCTCTGGTTGATGAAAATGGAAAAAGAGAAATATTAAACAATTTCAGAGCTAACTATTTGTAAGAGTAATATTAGCTAAATGGGTGATTCTAAGAAGTCAAAAGATTAGAATTATTTTACATATCAGAATCACACATATCAGAATTTAGATATCACACATACGACATGTGCTCCCATATTAATAAATGAATCTATAATTCTTCTAGCACACAAATGAATATTTGTATACAATTAACAAACAATTATTATTACTACTATTAGCATTAAATATTTATATTTATATTGTGTATTATTTTTATATTTATATTATATATTATTTTTATATTTAAATTATATATTATTTCTATTAAAAGACAACTTGGCAGCTTAGCTTAATAAATCGTTTAAAAGAAAACACAATATTATATTACTCTTAAATAGATATCCGTATTTTTTCAGCTAATAATTATTGCATTTACTTTATTAATTGATCTAATTTTTTTGTGTATTCTTCCTAATTGGAATCCAATAGGTACTCGAAAAGTCAATATTAACAATGGCACACACACTTAATTTTGCGCTTAAAATATTTAAGTTGATAAAAGTTTTCTTTGAATGATATTTTTTAACGTGATCCGGAAGCGTTTAAAATTAATTACACCCACATTATTGATAAATTGCAGCTTTTGATTGAACGTTTTCAATTATTTTCAATTAGCTGCGCTGCAAATAATTCAGGCGCAGGTGTTTTCTTCTTCTTCTTTTAACGTAAAATAAACGCTTCAGTTGCGATTTTCATTTGAATTTTTCCCTTGTTTTTCCAGCTGCAGTTGCGCGTGTTTACCGTTTGAAAACGCAGCGCCGACTGATACGAAATGAAAACAAAAATGGCAAATCAACGAACTTGGACGTGTTTATTTCTGTTGATCAGAAGCCGATTTAACGGCACACGAAGTACCGTTTTGTTTTGTTTTGTTTTGTTTTTTATTATTATCGGCAAACACTTAACGGGGTAAGAAGAAATGGTTTATTTAAGTTCGGGTGCCAGGCGCCGGCGGCCACATGGTATTTGCTGTGGGTGGCTTTTCAACAATTGATTGTCTTAATTGGCTTTGGATTTGGCCACACACACACACACGCACACATATGCAACAAATGTACTCACACACACATGCGCGCTTTTGAGTGCATGCGGCTGCGCCCTTCTAGCTGGATTTTGATTTGCCCCACATTTGCTGAGAACTAGCCATGTCGTACTTAACTATTTAAATGTAATTGGCAGATTTGAGTGCTTGAATGGTTTCTTTAAATTACTTCTGTATCTTATGGATTCGTATAATTAATTGCATACTGATAGTAGAGGTTACTTGAGTACGTTTTGCCCATTTGATAGAGAATATCAAATTGATTTATTACTATTTTGTTTTAAATTATGACATTTTTTGTATATTATATACGTTTTTTGATTGATGTATTTGATCGGATCGCTCAGCTCGTGGTTTCTTTAAGTTTTCTTTTCTGTAATAATCTAGCATGGAAACCAACTAATTATTATGTATACAATATATTGTTGGATAAATTTTTGGCAAGACATAATTTTTAGTTCAGTCGGTCAAGACTTTATCTGTTATCCTTTTTTTGGAAAACGCATTCCTTTTTCTTGATCAATAACTGGTAAATATATATACTTCGTACTACAATCATTCAATATTCCTATTTGAATTTCAGAATTTGGCGTTGAATTTATCGAATAACCGCTGTACTTTCATTTCGCACAGATATTTACTATTTGACAGACTTTCGCCTAGATCGCATTTTTGTTGCTGCTACGTTAATTTAAGCAATTTTATAAATTTTGTTTTACGCAACGCTAAAAAACTTTTTATACAACATTTTTGTTAGTTTCAATTGAAGTCGAAATTCGTTAAGTAAAATATTAAAAAAAAGAAAATACTGGCAATTTTCAAGCTTTTCACCAAAAAATACGATAAATACCTTTTTGTATTAAAGTAGTATATACTTATTCGATAAATGTATTCGATTGCTCGATTTTTGTGCTAATTCGCATAGTGACACAGTGACAGGTAGCAGAAAATATAAAATTTTTTAATAATATTGTAGAAGCAAATATTGACCATAAATTTACAATCAAAAAAAACTATGCAGGTCGCAACAATGTCGAACGTTGGAGACACCGAGAATCCATTCGCAGCTCTGCTGCAGGATGGCACCCAGGCCAATGGCGTGTCCAAGCAGCTGATCGAATCAATTTTGCTCTTTACACTGAGCAAAGATGTGGACACCAAGCGCAATCGACCGGTGCTCTGTCTGGCCGATGTCGTTGTGGCCGACAATAGCACCGAGGAGACACTCGGCGAGGATCTGCTGGCGCATGCCCTGTTCGAGCGCCTCATGCTGGACGAGACCACAAAATACCTGATGCCATCTGGACAGGTTGATCAAAGGCAGCAAGAGGAAGCGCTGGAGACACGGGCCATCATTTACCTGCACGGTGCATTCACCAGATGGGAGGAGACACAGCGCACTGGCAGCCTGCAGGACAAGGAACATAGCAATCGAATTCTTGACTTGATCCTAAACAATGCGAGCACATGCATGCGCCAACCGGATCTATTTGCAACCCAAACATTCTCATCGCAGTGGCTAGAGCTGTTCGAGGAGGCGGACGAGCATAATACCAGCACGCAGGAGTTTCTGATCCGGGTGGCAGAGAAGGTGCTCGAAGATGTTGAGCAACTGGAGGCGCTGGGCGCTCTCAAGGCCATATTCTACCCTATGCTAAGTGAGTTGCACAAGCAATTGGTCAAAGACAATTTGATTACAATCAGAAAGAATATTTTCTGGATTCTGGGCTTCTTTGTGCGCGAAAAACGCGCCGGCTTACTCGGCGAGCTGCTCATTGACTTTACCACACCCAATCCTAAGGCTAAAGGTAGGTAATCCTATCCAGACAAATGCGAAATACTTACATTTATTTTATTAGGTGGTGAATACATGGATACGCTTTTAGGCCAATTGCTGTGCATGTCCATTATGCCCAAGACTCAAACGGCGCCCTACGAATTTTTCCGCGACATATCGCTGATCTCCCAGCAATCGGATCCCTCGCTCTGGCAGCTGCTGGCCCATCATCAGCAGGCCATGTTTACGCTGGTCAAACAACTGCTCGTACAATCTTCCACTAGCAAGAAGAAGACGCTGCAGTGGATTGCCAACTGTCTGGACGCGAATGTGGCGCGTGGTCATTTGTGGAGCACCATTAACTTGAATCTGGAGCAGACCGTGCACAGCACCGCCAGCGATGCATTTATGACCAGCCTCAGCGCCGTGCTGATGCGTCTGTGTGCGCCGCTCTGCTCGCCCGCCTTAAAGGTACATGTCCAGCTAATCTGTGGGCTATGTCGCAGCGTATATTAACGTTGAAATGCAATTGCAGGTGCTGCTGGTAGATCCCACATACTGTGCAGTGGCGGACCCCGTGGAACGCCAATCGAAGGGCGTTAACATGCTGAGGGCGTTTGAAGAGACATGCCTATTGCCCACCGAGGAAGGCGAAAAGCGCTTAACAGCGGATAAGTACAATTTTATTACCGAGATATTCTATTTGGCGCACAAGGCATTCGAGCTGGGCAATCGGGCGTGCATTGAGCGACTGACGCGCATGATGCGTGAGCTGCAGAACACACAGACCGCCTACCAGGATGTGGCGGCCAGCGATCCCAACAACGATCTAACCAAGAATCTGTTTCGCATGCTGCAGGATCAGATGCAACAGGTGCTCTGCATAAGAAATGGCCTGGCCGAGCCAGAAAATGATACCGCCATCCTCAAGTTCTTTGAGGCCTCGGCCATTTGGCTCACTGAGATAGCGATGTTGCCGCGGGAATCGTTTGAAGCGGGACTGGACAGAAAGGACTTTGCGCCACAGCTGCTGCGCGATCTGGAGCTGTTGTCCGAAACACCGCCCTTTGTGGCGCCATATATGAAATCGGTGCCGGAGAATATCATCGACAACATTGCGGCCTATTTGAATTTCTGTCGCAGCTTTCCCGGCGATCAGTATATACAAATGTACACCAGCTCGCACGATGCGTTCTTCAAGATGATTCTATTGTTCATGGGCAGCTCTGGACTGGTCAAGAATCCGCATTTGCGCGCCAAATTGGCGGACGCTTTGGAGTTTCTGCTGCCCACACAAATCTCGGGCAGCAATCGCAAGGCATTCCATACACACGTCTTTGACAGTCACACAGATCGGCTGCAGGTGGTGCGCAGTCTGCTCAACGTGTTCGTCAGCATCGAAATGACCGGGCAGTCGGTGCAGTTTGAGCAGAAGTTCAACTATCGCCGTCCCATGTACGCGATCATGGAGTTTCTGTGGACCAAGGAGGAGCATGTCGAGTGCTTCAGGCAGCTGGCACAGGATGCCGAACGCAACATGGAGGCCATTGAGCCGCCAATATTCTTGCGCTTCATTAATCTGCTCATCAACGATGCCATCTTCTTACTGGACGAATCGCTCTCCAATCTGGAGCAAATCAAACAGCTCCAGCAGGCTCAAGACAACGGCGAATGGAATAATCTGTCGCACAGCGAGCGTCAACAGCAGACCACCAATCTGCATCATCTGGGCATGTTGGCACGCTTCGATAATATACTGGGCCGTGATACCATCAATTTGCTAAAGCTGCTGACCAGCGAGATCAAGAGCATCTTCTGCCATAACAGCATGGTCGATCGCATTGCGGCCATGCTCAACTATTTTCTATTGCATTTGGTGGGGCCGCAGCGGGAACGCTTCAAGGTTAAGGACAAGAAGGAGTTTGAGTTTGATCCGGCGCAAATGGTGCTGGAGATAGCGCACATCTACATAAATCTAAGTACGGACAATTCCTTTTGCCTGGCCATATCCCAGGATGGACGCTCCTACAGCCATCAGCTATTCGGCTATGCCGAGAATATATTGATACGCATCGGTGGTGGTCAGTTAATTGGCGACATGGCCGAGTTTGCAGCCAAGGTGCAGAAAATGGGCGACGACTACAAGGAGGAGCAAGAGCTGCTTGCCGATGCGCCCGAAGAGTATCTGGATCCGATTATATCAACGCTCATGACCGATCCCGTGGTGCTGCCCAGCTCAAACGTTACCGTCGATCGTTCCACAATTGCTCGCCACCTGCTTAGCGATCAGACAGATCCATTCAATCGCGAACCCCTCACCATGGACAAGGTCAAGTCGAATGCGGCGCTCAAGCTTGAGATCGAGCAATGGATCGAGGGCAAACGCAGCGCGGCGCGTGTCAAGAGCTGAGCAACCAATCCCGGCTAGGGCACGCGCATAACCAAAGAATTAGCTCATCGTGGGGGTAACCGGATAAGGCTTTAGTTTAATGTAATGTTTTCCTTATAATTCCAGTTTATGTACAATCTATGCAATATGTACGTAAGCAAACTTTGCAATTTTCCAATAAATTCTTCACTTCAATGGTTGAGTTGGGACTCGAGTTTGTGTAGCACGTACGTATATAAATAAATAATAAATGTAAATATGTTTGTATGATTAGTTGGCATTCCGAGCGAATGTTTTAAAATCAAATAAATAACTCTTTGAACCGTTGCGTATGGCAAAATATTCCACAGAAATTTTTGTTTAAATTCTTTTTAAATCTTTGGTTACAGGCAATACAAGTTATCTTCAGTGTGCCGAAGATTACATTTTATTTGTATACAAATATCAAAATATATTTGTTTATAGAATTTTGTTACTGCAGCAAGTGATATATAATATATAGAGATCCGATACGAGCGAGCGCTGTAGGTTAATTTTACAATAAAAAGCTTTCGACTTTTAGAGACTCAACCACAAAGTATTAAAATCCTAGGCCCCAACGAATGGATTTATCTAACCATATTTGGTAGATGCCAATTTTGGGTAGAGACCCAAACTAGCCCGCAATTTCTAAATGAAAATATTTATAGTTTGCAATATTTTCAGTAGAACGGGCGATTACAAATTAAATACCGAATTGTTTTATACAAAATTTGAAAATATATTGCAAGGTTTGAATCAAAACCTGGATGCAAAGATGTTTTAAAACCCAACCAGCGGTGTTTTCCTTGGGCTTCCTGTTCTGAATATAAGATCCTAGGATATTAAATGCAACAATTTTGTCCTGGAGGTAGAAGTTGCTGCATTTTATTTTATTATGAATAACTACTTACAATATTTAACGAATGCTTCGAAGCTTAGCTGCGTGTGTTTATGTCATGTCTCATGATCCTCAACCACATCATGAGCCAAGTGCTCGAATTGCTCGGTGATCAATTGATGGGCGAGGCAATCGCCGCATAGATTTAGGTAGCAATAGCAACTGTTGCAATGCCAACGCTTTTGCGTTACGGCCGACTCCTCGCATTCCGCGCACTTGGGCGCCAGCGGATCGGGACTGTAGCCGTCCTCTGTTTGTACCTTTTCGTCGCGTATGGCTGTTAATATTTTCAGCTGAAGTAGCTTCTTACGCTGCGTCTCCGATTCGAGCGCATCGGGCTCCAGCTTTGGTTCGATTTTAACTGCTGCTGGTGGCGGCGGCGACGGCGCAACGGGCATCAGGTCATCCAATGTGTATTCATCCTCGGGCATTTGTATTTGTATATTCTGGGCCGGAAAGAATGTGGAACGGCGTACGTTAAACTTGGGTCGTGTAGGGCCGCCCGCTCGCCTGTACTTGGGCAAGCGACCCGGCACAGGCATTCCGGCATCGTGGAGCTTCTGAAAGTACTTCTGGACACGGCTGAAAACTTGTTGCGCCGTTCGATTGCCCAGCGCTTTAGCGATTTTGCCAAAGCGCCGCATTTCAACCTCTTCCGGCGGATACTCGATGAGCAGCTGTTCCAGGCGTAGTTGCTCCTCGTTCGTCCACAGACGCGTTTGTGTTTTGCTGCCATTTTTATTGTTCTTGTCCTCTTCAATGGGCTGAGAATGGGGCGCTGGTGTCTCGGTTTTGACTTCTTGCTTAACTGTTAATGTAGGCAACTCAGGCAGGCGAATTGGGGTTAAGTAATTGGGCGCTATTAGCGGCTCCTTGTTGCGCAGCCTGTCCAGCAACAGTTGCGGATTCTCCAGATACATATCGCGCGCTTTCTCCAGCTCGTCTATTTGTTGATGGACGCGAATGCGCTGAGCCTGCAGCGTGGCAATGGTCCGCAGCAGGTTGCTATAGCATTGATTGCCACGTAATGCCAAGTGCTCCGTTTCAAAGTGGAACACATCCTCGTTCTCGTCATCGCTTTCATCGCTCTCGTCTTTAATGCTTTTTGTATCCGTTTCTTTTTGATTGTTGTCGTTTTCCATTTGTCTGCGCGTGCCGTGAATGGGAGCTAGAGATGAGAATAGCACAGAGTAGTCTTGATTTCGATAGTACAGCTGCAATAATCGATAGTTTCTTTTTGGCGCCAATTCAATCTATTTAAATATGCAAATACTAAGGGCTACAGTGCAACACAATTTTCTCAATTTAAATATAAGCGAATATAAGTTTGGCATATTCACTTATATTTAAAAAAAACACCGACTTTTCTAATTGATCGCAACAACTCACAGCATTATCGATAGCAAGTTATCGATGTTACTTTCAAATATTTAAATAAGTGCATACACTCTTTAATTTAAAGATAATTATCCTGTTAACGGCAATTGTATCCTGTTCTATGAAGACAAGCATTTTTATATGGATTTTAATATTTAAATGATATTTGCCAGAACGTTTTATATAATTAGTAAATAACTCTAGATCATTCTGATAAGCAACAGCTGTTTGTTTTGTTGAAGAAGAAGCACTGCACTCTACAAGTTGGTCCTTATATATTCGCCATTATGCTTATTCCACGATATTTGGCACGCCCTCTATTCCAGTGCTCTGCCACTGTAAGTCCGCTGTATAGCATAGTAGCCAATCCCAATAAAACCCAAATACTTACAGGGCAAGACTGCGAGGCCGATGTCCCAGTTGTCATCGGCTTCAGTGCGTATTGTGGAGGTGGGACCGCGCGATGGTCTTCAAAACGAGCCCAAACTGCTGCCCGCTGCCACAAAGATCGAGCTTATAGATCGTCTGTCGGAAACTGGACTGCAATCAATCGAGGCCACAAGTTTTGTTAGCGCCAAATGGGTACCCCAAATGGGGGACAATGCGGAGGTTTTGCGCGGCATACGCCGGGTACCTGGTATAAGTTATCCCGTGCTGACGCCCAATCTTAAAGGATTCGAGAGCGCTTTGAAGGCGGGCGCCGAGGAGGTGGCTGTTTTTGGAGCTGCCTCCGATGCATTTTCGCTTAAAAATGTCAATTGTACGGCGGCAGAGGCCATTGAGCGCTTTAAGCCCGTCCTTGCTGCCGCCAAGCAACATGGAGTTCGTGTGCGCGGCTACGTTTCAACTGTGGTGAGCATGGTTCTTCAAATAGTGACAGTTGTGCTGTTATACTAGCTGCAGCACTTATGTATCTTCTAGGTGGGTTGTCCCTACGAGGGGGCTGTGCCGCCCAAGGCTGTGGTCCAGGTGGTGGCAGCACTGCACGACATGGGCTGCTATGAGATCTCGCTGGGAGACACCATTGGTGTGGGCACGCCGGGCAGCATGCGCAATATGCTGGACGAGGTGACGCGCGCTGTGCCCGCACAGCATCTGGCCGTACACTGCCATGATACATACGGCCAGGCGTTGTCGAACATTTTAACTTCCCTGGAATACGGAATACGTGTTGTGGACGCCTCCGTCTCCGGCCTGGGTGGCTGTCCTTATGCACGCGGCGCCTCCGGCAACGCAGCTACTGAGGATGTCGTCTACATGTTGCACGGCATGGGCATAAAGACGGGCGTCAATTTGGACAAGCTCATTGAAGTGGGACGCTACATATGCACGGAACTGGGCAGAGCTTCCGAATCGAAGGTGAATCGTGCTTGGAAAGGACCTCAGGCTAAGAAGGCATAAGGATAGCCAAGCCCACAAAGTAATCGATGGCATTTACTAGTTACTAATTGTTGCGTGTGTTGTATCTTAGTGTGTATTTGTTATAAACTTAAAAACAAATCGCGATTCGCTTGATAAAATTGTTACGAATCCCATGTAAAACCCCTTTTCTTGTTGGGTTTATCAATAATAATTAAAACTTTTGAGCATCCTTAAGCGTGTACAAAGAGATGTCGCCCGAGGCAAGCGACAGATCGGCAAGACTCTGATTGGGACGGCGTGGTATGTGCGACGTATTTCTGTTGCTGTTGCTCTGGGCGGGCATTTTCATCTTGCCATCGTGGCGCAGCACCGTTGGCTCCACAGCCGAATTCAGATACTTTTGAATTTTCGGCACATTCGGCATCGGCATTGGAGTCCGTTCATCCACGACCTGGTGGGAAAAGTGTTTGTTATTATCGGACAATAAGTGTGGATAAAATTTAGACGGTAAAATATTTTTCATTAAATTTAAATTAGTTTTACTCCCAATCGAATCCAAGCCCGTAATCATTTATTTCTTGTGTCGAATTTTATATTAAGTTCGAAACCAATCGGACGACAAAATTGCTTTTTATTCCCTTGAAACTCACCTGCTTCAGCTCAGACGAAATGTATGCCTTCTTGGGCAGCAATCGAGCAGCTGGATCAATGCAGCCAAGAGTTAGCTTCAATGGGTTGCAATTGCCAGATGCAACTGTCTGCCCGCGCTTCAATTGGCACAGACGTGACTCCTCCTCCAGTTCCTTGATGCTCAGCGTATTGAATGCATCGTTGATATTCGGCTTTTCCCGGAACATGCTCATTAGTGGCGCGGTGCCCGACTTTTGTGTATAGGTGCGTATGGGACTGACAATGTGTGCAAAATGATCTTTTTGGATTTTCAATTGACGTCGCATTGGTATGGCCGAAGGTTGCTTGAAGAACTTGGTTTTTGGCGGATCCATATTTATGGCATAGCGCGATCTGCCAGAACCAGTTGGCAGCTTGGAGCTGCCTTGGCGAAGCGGCGATGAGGCTTCTTTTTGGGGCGTCAACAAAAATGTATTCTGCTTGGGCAGTTTCTGATGCAAATGAATTACATCAGGATCGGATATGGGTTTGGCTGGCGAGGGCGATGGCGACGGCGATGGCTCCTTGGCAGCCATATATTCACGTGCTTTTTGCATCATATACTCCATTTCCTCCATGGTGCCATTCAAATGTATTGACTTGTTCTCCTTGTCTTCTTCTTCTGCTTCTGAATCAATTAAGGAAGATTCCTCTTGTTTAATATCGGCATTGAGGTCGTCGCCCTCTTTCACCTCCTCCTCCTCCTCGCTGGATGAAGACAACTCGATAATCGTGCTGTCAGCTGCATCGTTGACCGCCAGATCCATTAGAGTTTCGTGCAAATCGCCTAAGAGCTCTTGTTGCTCGCCCTCGGACATGCCATGTGGCTTGGCCTTGGCAATGGCCGCATAAAACAAGTCATCAACGCTCAACGTTGTTGCCTCCTTTGAGCTGCTGGCCAACGAATTGTCAGCGGCCGTCTCGTAGCAGCTCGAACCAGATGCAATTGTCTCGCTGCTTTGAGCCGTTTTCAGGGTGTGAGCGGTTAGAAAGCTGCTGTTGTGCGACGACGACTCGTCGGATTGCTGGCCTGTCAGGTCAGCCTCGTTGGCCTCCAATATAGTTGAGGGTCGCAGCAGGCCGACCATTTTCACAGGCGACGTCTGTGCGGTTGGCTGAAAAACTGAATCGTTGCCAGTGAAATCATTATCCCAAAAGCGAGAAGGCGCCTCGATATCCTCCAGCTGCGTGCACTCAGCACTCTTCAGAGGACTTTCGTTGCACAGCTGATCCTGGTCACCTACATCCTCCAGCATACGACGCAGTGCACACATTTCCATATCACCAGCTGCATAATAAAATCATGTAAGTTATTTTGTTATGGACATGCTTGACTAGAAGCTAACCTGAACCTAACTACGAATTGCAGTAACATTCGTTTCTACCCAAGAGTAAACATGTTTCCCTCAGCACCTTTCTATGGAATACATAACTTATAGGTTTTTTTATCCTTAAACTCATCTCACGTAATCTCACATAACTTTGAATTGCAAGCGTAATAGTTTAATAATGGAAACAACTCCAGGTCGAATTTCAATATAATTCCCTAATTAACCGAGATCAATGGGTATGGACTGACGGACTGACGGTTATGGATAGATCGGGAATGCGGTCGGCGGTGCCTTCTTCTAGCTGTGCTTGGAACGCTAATTTAGCTACTTTTTAACATTTGGATTCAGGCAGCAATTGGCTGCAGTTGTTACCTACATTCGTACAACTAAATTATGCCCAAAAACTGATTTTAAATTTGTCGGGAAGTTGACGAGCCCACATATACTCACATTTATCTGCACGAGAACTGCGCTCCTTGGCTAAGGCCAAAACCTTCTCCTTATCATCGCTGTTCAGGTATTGAAACAGTGTGCTATCAGGATCGGAGCCGGTTTTATCGCACATGCGTTCGAGCGCATCGAAACTCTCGTCGGCATTTTGTTGCTGCGTTTCGTTGAGGACTCGGAACATGCTGTCGGTCTTGACGCTTAGATTTATGGCCGAGGTGGTTGTGTGATTCTCGCGCTGATGCTGATTCTCCAGCTGGGCCTTGCGGGCCTGCATCAATGCCTTAAAGTCCAGGACAATGTCTAAGCTGTGGCGGCGCTCCATTGATTCTCGTTGGGGTTTCGGTGCGGCAGGTGGTGGCCTTATAAATGCGAGAAAAAAATAAAATAATCGATCTATTTTGTACGCAAATATGTGCCTGACACTATGCTAAATGAAAATTTGTTTTTTTGTTGTTGTGTTTTTACGATATATCACATGCAGAGTATTTCAAAATAATTCATGCTACGCTCGAGCTACATTTGTCCATTCTACAGTTATTTACAGATATTTATCTATTTACCGATCCAGAAGCAAATGGTTGAGCAATTTCTGACGCCAAGCCGGAGTGTCTTGAAATTTTTCCAGGCCAGACATATTGGCTGCGTCCTTCTTTTACTTATAATAACACAATAACTAAGACTTCACACACCGAATACAAATGTTCTTATTTTGCAATGCCAAACACACAAATAGCGTCTAAAGTTACTCACTTGAAAGGCAAAAAATATGTAATAAGGAAAAAGACAAATTTTGCAGCCGCTTCTGTTCAAATGACTTGATCGTACACGAGTAAGTATCGACGCGCTGCAAATGGTCGGGTAATTTTAAAATCGAAACTTGTACTCTTTGGCGCCAGGGCTGCACAAATGCGAACAAAAATTGAAAGAGTAAAAGAAAGAAAAACAATTTATTTCATGTATTCAATTATAATTTACATAAATACAGCGCATTAAACAATATATTTTCTGCATTTCAAATGCGACGGAATCGTTGCCTAACTAAACGGGAAGTTCTATCATAGTGCGGCGAGGCATTATTAACTGGGGTACAGGGACTTTCTCTGGTTTGGTACAGATAATCCTTGTTCGTTTTATTATTAATAATGCTTATGTCCAAACTTCTATTTCCGATTGAACTCATTAAATTTGTATATTCCAAGATGTTAAGTTGCACTTGCTGATCATTTTTTAAGTTGCTTATGAATGTTCCAGGCGATTCAGTCAATGTTTCTTTATCCTCATACTCTGTCATTTCATCATTTGTATTATTTTTCGAGTCTGATTGGTTCAAGCTTCTTGTTGACTGCTCGTGGTAAAGCGCTTCATCTGAACAAGACGAGTTGATGTCCGGGGAGACCAAAGAAATTGTCGAATGGAGCGTTTTATCAGCTTCCATTTTGTGAACCATATCACTGAACTCAGTATCAAAATCCATTTTGAAAACACAAGCACTCAATTTATATTTGTCTATGCAGATGTAAGTAAAAAGTAACTGTTCTTTATCGAAATACGCGGCGACTATTTTGTTATCGATATACATATGTAAACTCGATAACGATGTTATCAGGTGGCCTTTAAATGCCGGCGCAAGAAGAAGATAGATAACAAAGACTGTGCGTAGCCATAAAAGAGTTTTATATGCAATATAGCATCTAAAAATGAACGCTTTAAGACACACAATGTCCCTGGTGTCCCTGGGCACCTTCCAGCTCGGGCGACGGATGAAAAGCCAACATGTACGCGGCTTTTTGCTTGGCACTGGGCTGGGCCTTTCCACCTTCGCAACGGTCACGTACGCACAAGCAGAGGCCGCAAAGGTCAATCGTAAGTTGAACATATCCAAGTACATGGCAGAGCCCATTACGGATCAGTCCATCTTGCTGGAGGATGAAGAAAACATGCGCCATCGCATGGAGCTGATGATCATGGAGATTCAAGCCGAATTCTGTCGCTCCCTCGAGTCCGAGGAGTTCAGTGGCCAGAAATTCAAGGTGGACCGTTGGCTGCGCAAAGAGGGTGGTGGCGGCATCACCTGCGTTCTGCGAGACGGCGAAGTCTTCGAAAAGGCCGGCGTCAATGTGTCCGTCGTGACGGGCATGCTGCCACCAGCCGCTGTACAGCAGATGCGAGCTCGGGGCAAAGAATTGAAGGAGAACGTGAAGCTGCCATTTTTCGCCAGCGGCGTCAGTGCTGTAATACATCCGCGTAATCCCCATGTGCCGACCATACACTTCAACTATCGCTATTTCGAAGTGGAACTGCCCGATGGCAAGAAACAATGGTGGTTCGGCGGCGGCACAGATCTGACGCCCTACTACCTGGATGAGAACGATGCGCGGCATTTCCATAAGACGCTCAAGAGTGCCTGTGACGAGCACGACACCAGCTACTATCCCAAGTTTAAGAAATGGTGCGACGATTACTTCCACATCAAGCATCGCAACGAGTCGCGCGGCATCGGTGGCATCTTCTTCGATGACATCGATGAGCCCAGCCAGGACAGCGCCTTCAATTTTGTTACCAGCTGCGCTCGTGCCGTAATCCCATCGTATCTGCCGCTGGTGCAGAAGCACAAGAATGCCGACTATGGTACCAATGAGCGACAGTGGCAGCTCCTTCGACGTGGCCGCTACGTGGAGTTCAATCTAATCTATGATCGTGGCACCAAGTTTGGCCTGTACACGCCGGGTGCGCGCTATGAGAGTATTCTGATGTCGCTGCCATTGCACGCCCGATGGGAATATATGCATGAGCCGAACTCCACATCTAAGGAAAACGATTTGTTAATGGTTCTGCGCAATCCTAAGGAATGGGTTTAAAGTCGAGTAGTTGATATTTATATTTTGTTAATTGCTATAATGGGAATGGTGCCTTTTATGATAATGTTTTTTTTAGATACGTAAGAATTAACAATATTTTTGCCTGTACAGTTTTTTCGTTACAAAATTAAAGTTTATTCTTACAAACATACAACAAATATTTTTTAACAAGTTATCAATTAACATGCATATGCACATACATACATACATACATTGTGTATGTGTGCACAGTGTAATTAACTCTTTTCAAAGAAATAAAAGTTTTTACCATGTACATCCCCATGTATACCCGGTGCTATCTAAATTGCATATATTTTCGAAATTTTGAATCGTCTGGCCCACAATTTTCAAGGTTATGTTATGTTAACCCATACACGCATACGTATGTATCTATTCACGACCCTTCCACTGCGGATGACGTCATCTTTTCCATATATGTATTTTGAGGTTATGTTTCTAAATCTAAATGATTATGTCGCCATATATCTAAATTTTTACCTGATATATAACGCCCATGAAATCATATTAATCTATGTATATAAACAAATGTATATACCTATTTATGTATGTTTTCCATTTACACATGGACAGATGTCTGTCTGCCTGCATTGTGTATGTATACTCGTTTTCACACACATACACACAAGCAACCACAGTTGCTGTACTGTACACAATTCGTGTCTGTGTGTACCAACAATGTTGAAGCCCTCACACATACACACACACACCATTTTACAAGCGCTTCACGTGTGCGTGTGTGTGGCAGCATTAGGGATATAAAGCGGGAAATGCGCGCCACCGGCAATTTACCCACCAAAACCAAAGTTTGACAAACCAATACAAAATCATTTTTTCAGGAATCGTTCTTAAATTATAGTTTACAAAATGCTTTATTTTCCAGTTTTTTGCTTATTTTTCTTTTATCAAACATCTAGATCTTTGTGGGGATACTTCTTTTAGTTGTTTTCATTGTGTGTACAAAAAAAAAAACCAAACTGAACAACAGAATTGATATTTTTCTTTTGTTTATTTATGTAGAATAATGCTCGCTTAATTGTTGTTGCTGCTGCTGTTTTTGTTGTTGTCGTTAAAATGAAGAGTAACTAGCTTAACTACATTCATACAAGTATATAATTAATAAACACCGCCGGTCTGCTGCTGGTACACCTCAATAGTATCGCCCTCCTCCATCTCAAGCGAGGTCGGAGTGTCGTTCTCATTGATAGGCTGACCGTCAAAACGGAAGCGTACCACCTGCATGGAAAGTCCGGCACGGTCACAGTAGGCATTCATCAGCTTTCGCAAAGGTGTGTGTTTCTTAATTTTAAATTGGACCACCGCATTATCCTGTCCAAGTACTTTCAGATTGATGTGCTCGGTTTCGCCTCCCTTCTTTTCGTCAGACATGTTTTTTTTTCGCTATGTACGCGCTTGACGATATTCACAAATGTAAAATGCAATGATGCCGGGCGTGCGTGCTGAACAATAATGTAAAGAACCCGCATAAATTAATAAGAATTCACCTTTTATTATATATTTACTGATTTGCACTGTAAAATTGCTTTTGCAAATAGAAAATTTTCTTACTTTTGAATACGTTTCACCACTCGCTTCCTTCTTTTAAGATTACCAAGCGGCTTGCGCTAGCTACACACACGCCAAAAAATGGTTGTATTTTGAGTGTCTCCCTATTCGCACGGCGAAAAAATTATCAGCAAGATAATGCACTAAAAATTACCACGACGCCGACAGGCAGGGTTGCACTTCAATGAAGAACCAATTTAATTGCAAAAAAAATAGGATGGAGACAGATTCTTAACTTTATTAGGTTGACACTCAATTATAAGTAAATATTTTTATATTGATTTAAATGATTGTAATTAATTTGTTTTTACAATGCCTACTTTATAAGGGACACAAAATCAATTTGCACATATGTATTTGAATAATCGATATCGGAATTAATTTGGCAGAATGATAATTGATGTAGTATTCCTGATACGGAAAAGCTTAATGTTAGCAATAATCCTATAAAAGCGTGTTAACTAAGAACACAATGTTAATTAAGACTAGTGCCCATTTTAAGGTATTAAAGTTACTTCATAGTCAGGCTTATCGAAAAAACCAGCCAAGCTGGTTATCGATAGCGATAACCTGTCTATTTTCATTTTATCATGGAATCGTATCGACAACACCAAAACAAATTGGCGCGCTATTCAATTTTAAATCATGAACACGTGCAACAAAAGAAAAAACATTACAACTGCATCTCATATAGTGTAATTGTTGGTCCACAAAAAAAATATATATAGGCCTTTGATATTTTAAACCCAATCGAAATCTATCTTGATAAATATTTTATATTTTCAACATAATTTGTATGGCTTTGTCAAGTTTAGCTTTCTAAAGTAGGGTATTTAGCCAAGTTTAAATATTTGTGTTTTACACAAGAAAAAAAAAACAAATTTGTTTTCAATTTGGTTGCTTTTATAAAATACTTTATTTTTGGAAGTATTCAGTAATAGCACATCTGTCGAACAACAAAAATACAAATGCAAATTCAAATAGGTCATACATTTGCTTTGCTTAAAACCAGCTACTTTAAGAAACAAGTTTTGTGAAATTCAATTCTATGATAAATATAAATGAAACAAAGCTTATGTTGGACCTGTCTGAATTTAAAATATTTACAGAAACTATTTTTGGAAATCCCTTAGCTTCGAAATTTTGTTTCCACAGTTTGACTTGCCTCCATTTATTTTGGCTTTTGCAATCAGTTAGTAGATATTAGATATTCGTGAATTTTCCGCCCTATACCATTCGTTTTTGGAGGCATTAGGTAGATGTCCAACATACCCTTATGCTACAGCAACTTTAACACTTTGAGTGAACCTTATTGACTGACCCTTACCAGTTATAGGCGCCAAACGGAAAACGACCAATAACAAACCTGAGCGCTGTTTCGAAATATATATTCCGTGGTGTGGTCCTCTTGTACAGGTGCCACACAAACAATCACCAAACGTACTTGAAAAGATCGAGATCGAAAATTGATTACTACGATATCAATTTGATATATAAATACCATACATAACCATTTCAAAGGGCATACCTCACCCCATCAAGATCAAAGAATATCCACCATTGTGTGCATTCGGAATTTACGCTTTGGTTTTTTGTTTTTGTTTTCGTTTTTCAGTATTTGACCAACTCGTTTGGACAGAAATCTTACCAAGAACCAACAACCAGCTCGCAAAAACTTACAATCGTCAGATATTTCGAAAAAGTGGCCCGATTAAAACTTACTCACAGACCCAAGTTTGGATAGAGCTATGGTACACCAATTGAATAAGCTGATCTGGCGTCCCAGGGAGCCACCACGTTTCTAGTGTTGGCCTAGAACGGTAAACGCATGGATTAGTGAGATTTGTGTAGAGAAGAAATTACCTGATTTGATAAGTTACTAATGGGTCAAGTTTTGAGTACTTTTTGGGGAATCGTTTTGGATTTTCGAACTAATTATTTTTGTTTGTTGAAATACTTATGATCTGTTTTCACACACTCTGGGCGTATATTCAATATACATATCGTACATTAGAGATTTTCAGATTTTCAATATTGAAAACTGCAAAAAGATAAAGAAAACAAAATGGCACGAGTTAGCGCACATATTAAAAATGTGTTTTTTGTTTTTGTTTTGTTTTGTTTTTGATTTTTGTAAGCGATTAACACTTTAAATGTAATAATTTTACACATAGCTTCGATGAAACAAACCAATCAGTACTCGGAATCCGGATAGTCATATATGGTATACCAAAGCATTCCCTTATACCCCCTTACCAAAGGTGGGGAAACAAACACATGTTGATCTGATTTATTTTTACTTACTCTTCATTTCAATTGTTAAGATTTACTTACATATTTAAACGTATTTAAGCTATGCACAATTTTTTGTTGATTTACGGTTTTGTGTTTGTTTTGTTCTGTTAAGTTATTTTTCTTTTTTTTTTACTTGTTTTGCTTTCATGATAAATTTAAATATAGAAATTGAAAAGTGCTCCCAGCTTAAAACGGACTTACAGCATGTCTTACGCTTCGTTGTTTCCGAACTGCATCGTCCCACTGGCTGTTTCTGGCTATGAATTTCAAATTTCAATTGAATAAATATATAAAAACAATCGATACATTCGATTGTGCTAAATGATGGTGGTTACAGTTCTAATTGTAGTGTTACCAGCGCAGGATAATTACACAAAAACTCTGAAAATTGTTATCGTACTCGATTACCAATTGTTGTTGTTGTTGCATCGTTGCGACAAGGCAGGGTCTCACTGCCGCCACCAGGTTGGATCGCTGGCATTTTGGCCACCATTGTCTGGATTGTTGCTGCGTGGAAGTATCGGCGGTGGGGGCACACTGAACATATTGTGATGTGCAGCGGGCGGCCGATACTTCTCCTCGTTCTCATCGTCCATTTCGCGTTTGATTGCCGTGTTTTGATAGTCATTCATGGAAAACGTTGGATAGCCGTCATCAATTGGCTCCTCCTTAATCTTAATCATATCCATTTCACGGAAGTCTGGTTTGCGTTCCTTGACATCGCGATCACCGCCGCCAGCACTGCGATCTGCACCTCCCCGATCGCGATCCCGACGCTCACGCTTGCGATCGCGCCTTTCACGCGATGAGTCACGTTCTCGTGACTTGGAACGCTTCTTTTTCTTTTCACGCTCGCGATCACGATCACGCTCCCTGTCCCGCCTGTCGCGTCGTCCATCGAAATCATCATAGTCGCGCTCCCTGCTGCCGGCACGACGTTTTCGGCGTTCGCGCGAACGGCTGCGCGAGCGACCAACACGTGCGCCACGTTCCCGATCACGATCTCTGCGATCTCGGGAGCGCGAGCGACGCCTCTCACCGGCCACGACTCCGCCGTACGGAGGGCGCCCCCCACGTGCATCGACGCCATTGTTGGCTCCACCACGCACACCACCCTCACGATCCTCGCGCTCACGCTCCAAACGATAGCGTTCACGCTCACGTTCATTGTCCTCGCGGCCAGAGTGCTTGATATTCACATCGTTGCCACCTCGCCGTGTGCCACCCAAACCGCCACCCAGGCGTCGTGGCAGCCATCCCTTGACGGTCCGAGCGCGTTCAACATCCACCAGGACGCGCTTGCTGTCTATCTTCTTACCATCGGCGTGCTTGTACGCCGCGTGCATATCTCGCTCATGTTCATACTCAATAAAGGCGTAGCCCTTGGGTTTACCTGTAAGATAAAACATTAGTAATTATGCAAGAGAACAAAAATATTTCTTCAATCTAAAAATTAAGTAATATTTACGGTGAACAAATTAGTAAACACAATTTACCTGAGTCCTGGTCGTGAATGAGCACGATCTTTTTGATGGGGCCGTAGAACTCGAACTCGCGCCTCAACTTTGACTCGGATGTGTCGTAGTTGATGCGCGCTATGAACAATGTACGGAATGGATCCTCTGTGGCGTTCTTAATCTCGGTTGGATCCCATAGTGCGATTTCGCGTTCTAGCTTATAAGCCACTTGTTCGGCTTTTTCGCGCCGCCTTCGCTCGAGTCGCTCCTGACGCGTTTCCACAGTTTTGGGTAGCGGTGTGTCCTTTGGGTCTTCAAAGTCGCTCATAAATTTGGCTACGCCCAGGTAGCCTCGAGATTTTTTTTCATGGGGCAACTTATCCACCGGTGGCATAAACGGTATTGGATCCCGTGAGGCGAATAACGCCAAAAGATTTGGCGGCAGATATTGGGTCATTTTGTTTAAATATTTATTACCTTTGTTTCCTTCGTTCCGTCAAATTTGGTGCTAGACATTTAAAATTGAGGTTAGGTTACGCTTGTTTACGATAGTAAAAGATTTGAGCGCTTTACTGACCTTATAAATCCATCCAGTACGCGTTCTTGCTTCTATTGCTGGTATTTTAATCAACTCAAATTACTATTTCTGTAGCTGCCCAATCGATTTATCTCAATAAATATTACCAGACGAAAAAGAATCTTTTTTCTTGTAGCGTAGCTACACGGCTACTAATGATGGCATTATGCTAGAGATGAGCATGTCATTGGTATCACAGTGATTGTCACTTTTAAATTTTAATGGCAATATATGTTACAGCTCAACTAAATAACTATTAACTTAAGTAATATTTCATATTTTCTGTTTACTTTATAGATGTTAGTTAAGCCTCAAAAAAGTGTATTTTTCCGGATAGTTAAATTATTTTCACGCTCGCGCTAGTGACATTGGCTACATCGCATAAATAGCACCCCATTACGAGGGTTGTTAAATTACATGATACTTGTGTTATCGATAGTTCGATAAGCGCAGTGGAAGTTGTGAACTTTCTTACATGGTTTTCTTTTGGTTCAATAAATGAGTTCAATTCACCCACACATGCACAACACACATTTGCATCCATGAGCAGGCGCACGATTGAAAAGACAAAATAACGGCATCTACGAACTCGCCATAAACGTGATTTCATTTTGCAATATATAAAGTTACACTTTGCATTAAAATTTTAAAGTGCTTGTTTTTTTTACCAATAAAAATAATTAAATTATTGTAAGTACAACTATAACCAAAGAATACGAATAACACATGCAAATTATTATTCGCAACCTACCAGAAAATGTCGACTAGTGCAAAGCAAATACTCGAAGCAGAAGTGATCAAAGAAGAAAATGGCGCTGGCGCTTTAGAACCAAAGCAATCACCAAAGGAGCAACGCAAAAGCAAGCGAAAACATTTCCTTTTAATGGATAATGAAGGTGCTGGCAGTGGAGATGCTGATATCGATGTCCAACAAGTGCTAACACCTGTTGAGAAAGCGAAATTTGCGATGCCTCCACCGCCGCCACCATCCACACCAGTTCAAGCTCCACAACCACCACCGGCAGCAACGAGCGGGGCGCCCGATACTGAGGATGACGAGGCGAATTCGGAAAAATGGGAAGATCCTTGTGCGCCACCACCGCCGCCCCCATTGCCCATCAATGCATTGGCAACTAGTCAGGGCTATGCCAAACTGACCGCCATCAAGTTAAAAGACGCTCTGGAGGAGGCCATTACAAAAATGGAGACCCACAAGCGAGAGCAGCAGCGATCGAATTTCGATGTAAGTCAAATATAAAAAACATCACAGCTGCTTAATTTTACAGTTAGGTGCATTGTGCCTACAGTGGGCTCTCGATAAAATAGTCGCAATAATAACATGCACTTTGAATTGAATATTCTACTAAACCCAAACCCTTTTTCAAAAAAAAAAAATTTATTAGAAAAAAATGTTTTTCATAAAAAAGAATTTTCTATTTAGAGCTTTTAGGATGAAAATTCGGATTGGAAGAAGTTTTATTTTGTGACGAGCAATTTAGGTTTTGTTTAAAATATATAACTTTTTTTTTGGAATTTCATTTTAAATTAAAATCTATAAAATGTTGCCAATTCCAGAAATTTTGGTTAAAAGGTTTTAATTTATAAAAGAAACACCTTATCGGGTGCTAAGTTCGACAACAAGCATAGCAAGCCATTTCTTTTTTATTTTTTTTTAACTTATCTCTTACTGAGAAAGTAATCAAAATTTATTAAGTGTGTTGAATTTTATTTTGCTAACTACTTACAATAGTCAATGTTCTCTGATTGGGCTGCAGAAACAGCATACATACCGCATACTGTACATTTGTTTGACATCATAAATTACTGTTTTGGAAATGACATTGAAATTTACGTGATTGACTTTTCGCTAATACATTCTTGTGAAAAATTTCGCTAGTATCGATAATTTGTGCTTTTTCTTTTGTTTATTTTGCTACACACATTCCAATTACATTATCATTGTCATTGTTTTGGCCAACAGTCCGTACCAAATATGTTGGAAGAATTGAAAACCGATGCTGTCCAAATGTCGGCTACATGTTCAGTTAAAAGTTCAATCAATCCGTCCGCTCAAGCCATTATCGTGCATCCGAAGTGCAACAAGCCCGCTGTCATACGCAAACTGGAAAGAAAGATGAAAGTTGGCAAATTGCTGGCCAAACAGCGTCAAGCTCCGAATGCGATCATATCCAAAGAGGCCATACCCATGCCACCAGCAGGATCAGGAACAGCAGCAGCAGCAACAGGAGCAACAGCAGGGAATGCTCATGATGATGAAAGCCAGAGTTTAATGACATTGCAGGTGCTGTCGGCACGCGCCTCCACGCCTTATACTCAGCCCACAAGCCTGTTGTCCTGCGATTTGCACCTGAGCCCGCCACCAAATCAAGCCAAGCCAGCTGCCAAAAAATCGTTGCCTCAGTTGGTACCACAACAGGCGGCAACACAAAAACCACGCAGCATCTCGGCAACGGCTGTCTCGGGCAGTCTGCGGCTGCCCAAGCTACGCAACACACAATCGGCAGTGATATTACCCAGCCCTAAATTGGATATACCCATGCAGCATTATACGCGTCAGCATTTGTTGGATATACGGAATTCTATGGTACACGCACTCATGCATCGCTCCAAGGAGTCTCTCACCTTTAGTATGCCACGCATCGCCACTTGCGATGACATTGAACTGGAGGGACGACTGCGCCGTATGAATCTATGGCGAAACGTGGACTCGGCACCAAATGGTCGCAACGCCAACAGCTTTAAGCCACGTGTGAGTCTCCATAATCCCAACGGCAGCAACGAGTGCATGCCCGCCTTCTATAAGAATAAAAATAAACAACAGTTGATCACCGATGAGTCCATCATACAGAGCCAGCCGCCTCAACCGCAGCAGGATTTTCAGGTAAGCACTGCACTCATTTATATATACATCCCATATACATATAGATAACAATGCAATCAGATTAATGAGCACTAGATTAGCCGGGCTATATACTCTTATATATTTAGTATATTATAATAGAACATAGACAGGCTAGTCTAATGCTCTTTAATCTGATTGAATTTCGATAAGGCTTCTCGTTTGTGCTTATCAATTTTAATTTAACTTAACTAATCAAGAAGAGAGCCTGAATAATATACTAATTTTTACCTTTGCGAGAAAGAATACCCTATTGACAAGAATTTAGAATTTGAAAATTAAATTCTGTGGGGAATTCCAGTTTTCGAAACAACTTCCATGTATTCTCATAGCTAAATAGAGATATTTTTTTAATATAACAATTTGTAGAATCCAATGGATAAAAAGTGGCATTAGGAAGAAAAATATGATTTACTATATATATTACATAAAAATCGATTCGTACCTTTAGAGCTTACTTCAAGATTTTGCTTCACTTCTATTATTCTTTTTCCTTGTTTTTGTGTTTATAGAATAAAAATCCCCATTTGTTCTTTATTAGCATCTTGTCATATAGTTTTAATTTCTAGTTTAGAAGAATAGAGCCTGAAATATTAGATTTTGTTGTCTGCGAACCCTTGTAAAAATGCAGTTTATATACAGATATTGGCGCATATTGGAATGACATAGCCAACATCAGAGGAAAGTAAATTGTGTGTTATATATGTATATATATATATGTATATACACCTGTTTTATAATTAGGCAAAAATGTAATCTAAAGCGCGCCCGCGAGTTTCCTAATTGCTTGATTATAAGTATAGCTAGCATGTTGTTTACAATTTAAATTCGTTTTTATTGGCCGCCTAGCTCTAGGAATCATTTGCTCAGATAGTGCTTTGTGCCGTCCACTTCTCGCAGTCGCTGTGCGGCCTGCTCCGGCGTTAAATCCCGCTGTGCCATCGCCAACAGCTCAAATCCGACCATAAATTTGCGCACCGTGGCAGAGCGCAGCAGCGGCGGATAGTAAATGGCGTGCAGTGTCCAGTGGGCGCTCGAGGCGTGCGCATGCTCTGGTCCGGTGGGCGCACCGTGCCAGCCCATCGAATACGGAAATGAACATTTAAATAGATTATCATATTTGGTGGTCAGCTCCTTGATGGTCAGCGCCAGATTGTGACGCTGGCCGTTGGTCAGATCATTGATGCGCTTGTTGTTGTTACGCGATATCAGCATCGTTTCAAAGGGCCAAGTAGCCCAGTAGGGCACCACGACCAGCCAATCAGGATTCTCAATAACAATGCGTTCCCTGCGCTGCAATTCGCGATCCGCATAGTCGCCCAGCATCGGCCGGTCGTGGGTGGCGTAGTAGGCGCGGAGTCGTTCCTGCTTCAGCTGGGGCTCTGTGGGCAGAAACGAACATGACCAGATTTGGCAATGCGGGTGCGGATTCGAACAGCCCATGGTGGAGCCTTTGTTCTCAAATATCTGCACCCATGCGTACTTAGCGCTCAGCTCGTTAAATTGTTTAATCCATCTGTAATTGAGTTACAAACATAAATCGATAATGCTATTATCGATAGCTAGCTTATCGATAACTTACTCATCAATAACAGCGCCAATTTCCGTTGGGCTCATGGTTGGCAAGGTTAAATTCGATTTGGGATGGAAACACATAACGCGACAATTGCCACGCGCTGGCGCTGCCTGAAACAGCGGATCATCGCTTGCGGGCGGCGAGGGCACCTGTTCCAGCAGTGCGGGAAAGTCATTATCAAAAACATAGGTGCTCTCATAGCGTTCTGTTAGAATGCCATTGGGTCGTTTAACGCCCGGGCAGAGCGGATTATTGGGATCAAATTCGGGTTGTTCAATAAGCTGCGGATTTTCCTCCTGACCCGACCAGGGCCTCTGCATCCGATGCGGACTCACAAGCACCCACTGTCCATTCAATGGATTCAGTCGGCGATGTTGGTGCTCTAAAAATATACATATAAATTTATTTGTGTGTATAATTAAATGCAATTAGCAATTAGCAGTGCGCCGCGTCGCTCTTACCGGTGGCCATAAACTGCATCTTGTCACTGAGCCTAAAAACGTTGCTATCACTGCATTTACCTACTGCGTAGGATTAGTGTTGTGTGCTTGCAATGGCTGCCGCTTACAGTTATCTGTCGCTCGCTCGCTCGCTCGATCGATGGAGTCCACGGGACAGCGCAATGTCAACTGGCGCTGGCACCGTTTTAGTTTTTGTTTTTGTACATCTCCCAC